GCCCCACATGCGGCCGACGAGCCCGAGCCCGACGACGCCGAGCGTGACGGCGACGTGCCCACCGCAGGACCGCAGCAGCCGGGCGGAAAAGGGCGGCAGCGGCGCGGCGGTCGGGGGCCGGCGCAGCGCGGGCACGAGGGTGCGCGCGCTCGTCGTGGCCACGCCGAGGAGCGTGCCGAGCGTGACGGCGCGGGTGGCGACGTGCGTCGTGAGAATGGTGCGCGCGAGGGGCTGATCCTCGGCGTAGGGCGTGTGTGGAAAGTATCGCGACATGTTGGTATTTAGGAGAAGCTATTACAGCCTCGAAGATTTGTATTTGGGCTGAGGATTTGATGGTGGTAGGCGCAAGGGACGATGATTGTACAGAGTCGACTTGGTATGGTCAAGATTTAAGCTTGCTTCCCCGCCCAAGCAGCAAGCTCCCAAAAGACTGTGGCTTTGTAGCTCGACTATCAGCAATTAATTACCTAGTATCTGCCCATATTCCAGGCATATACGTACCTCGCGATCAGCCACTGACACGCACCCAATCAGCGCCCTTTCAAATCGAATTAGCGAATGCGACCAGCCGCAATCTTCTCCACAGGTGATCCTTTTAGCGGACTTCAGTGGATCATGCGACGCCTGACAGGGCCGAGTCCCGAGTCTGCGTTGCATCCAAATGCAGTACATCAACAAACAACATCAACAACATACAAAACATATAGACAGTACTCGAAGAATGTGAATCTTGATGCATTGGCCAAAAAGAACTTGATATAACCCACCAATCAACGCCGCATTATGCTGTATGACCCCGAATAAAATGCGTTGCTAGTGTCGTTGCACCGCCGTTCAAGCCTGATCCCAACGTTCCAGGTGGTGTCGACACTATTCATCATCCGTCATGTCCATCATGCTCGTCCCCGTCTCCCCGTCCTCGTCGTCATTATCCTCCAGCAGCGTCCTCCGCCTGTTGCCAAAGGCTCGCCCCTTGCCCTTGTCCATCATATTGCAGCCTGTCCGTCGGCCGTTGATCTTCTCCGAGGCCTCGGCCTTGCGTTGCTCCAGCTGCTGCTCAAAGTAGAGCATCGCGTCCGACTCGTCCTCCTCGGCGTCTTCCGCTGTGGACTCATCCAACGCCTTGTTGAGGAGCTCCGTAGCGATGCTGTCCTGGGGGTTGATCGAAAGCGCCTCGTGAAGCACCACGGCCGCCTCTTCCGGCCGGTTGAGCTCTAACAGAATGAGGCCCTTGGCGCTAAAGACGGCCGCATCCTTGCCGCCCATGCGCAAGACTTCGTCAAATTGTTCCAGAGCGTCCTTGAAGTGACGCAAGCGACGGTACGAGTGTGCCAGATTTGTTCTCGCGGCTACCCAGGCTGCCGGCTCGCTTCCGTTGTCCCCTGCGATTTCGAGAGCGGCTCGAAAGAACTGCGCGGCGTCCTTGGGCCTGTCTTGATGATACCTGACGACACCCAGTTCGTTGAGAAGTAAAGGGTCATTTTTGCAAAGCCCATACGCAGTTTTGAGAAACTCCTCCGCCAGCGACATGTTATTTAATGCGTGGTTTTGCATGCCTAGAAACACCTGTGGTAGATGCGTGCCCATAAACAGTCGCGCTGCTGTCGAGTAGGCAGAGATGGCCTGATCATGCTCGCCTTCAGCGGCAAAGGTGTGCGCAAATCCAATCCACGCGGGGCCGAAGTGCGCATCCATCATGCTCGCCTTGCTGAAGTACCGTCGGGCTTCCGCAACCTTGTCGATGGCAAAGTAGTAAATGCCTACCGCCAGCCAAGCACAGGGCTCCTCCGGGTGTGTATCCGCCAGGTCGTGAGCCACCAAAAACAGCGTATTCTTCTTCTTTAGCTCATAAAGACACGCTAGGTGCACAGGGTATATATTAAAGTTGTACTTGTCGCCATCAATCACCGCCTTGGTCACCTCGAGCGCCTCGCCATAGCGACACTGCGTGTATAGCTGATCCGCCCGTGCGAGCTGCAGGTCCGGGTTCTCCCCCAGCTTGTAGTGCGTCGAGAGCGAATCGTATGCGGATTGGAATATGGCCGGGTTTCTGTACTTGGACAGCCTCGTCGTATACAGCATCTTTGTAAACTCGGCCGCTTCCTGTGAGGCCGAGATATCAGGCTCCGTCTGTATGGCGTCAAAGTTGAGGCTTTCGAGGAACTGCCACTCCTCGTCGGGCGAGAGCAGCGAATTCTTCATGAGCTGTTGAAAGGCCTCGAAACACTGCACATCGATGCGCACCGCATCCTTGTAACACTCCTTGGCGCGGTCAAAGGCGTTCTGCTTGGCGTAGCAGATGCCTCGCAGGAAGCACATGGCCGCCTCGAAGCGTCGCGTCTTGGCCTCCTCGACCTCTTCCGCCTGCGCCGCCGCCTCGTCCCGGCGGCGGGTGTTCCGCTGCTGCGACTTACGCTTGTTGCTCTGGCCGTTGGCGATGAGGTGTGTCGGGTTTCGCTCGCCGAGGACCGCTAGCGCTTCTTCGAACCGCGACTGCTTGATAAGGCAGTGGCCGGCGAGGTATCGGCAGGACGGGTTTCTGTTGATGAGGTCTTGCTTGGCGAGGAAGGCGTGCGCGCGAGTATAGTTGCCGGTAGCAAAGTGGACTTGGGCAAGCCAGAAGGCATCTTCATCGTCATCTGTCGAAGAGGGGTTAGCGGATAGCGACGCAAAACAGACATCGCGGCTGCGCACTGGTCATGGCAAGCAGCTTGTCGCCAATGAAGATGGCCGAGTCGTGCTGCGCCTTGTTAAGGGCATCCTGCCGCCAATCGCGCAAGAACTTTTCCATGGCGGAGGACGGCATTGCGGAATACCTTAATGAATACAAGAGCCAGTATACAAATATTTTGACACCGGCGGAGTTGATGGCATCGTCGTTGAGATGCGGTGACCAATGTTGTGTTGGAGCTGTTTGGTGGCGCGACTTGGCCTGGGATCGGGGATCGCGTTGCTGGTTGCTATTGCTGCAAACCGAAACTACCCCACCATAGCAAGTAACGGTGCGACGAACGGCCACCTGCGGGCGATGAAATGAGAAGATAATCAAAATGAGACCTTCGATCATAAGAAATCGAGTGATTAAAATAAATATAGTGGCTGGAATGGTAGTTAGACGTTCAACAGCTAAAAAATACAAAATGGTTGCGACGGCCACTGTATTGTATAAACCTAACCTATCATGTATAAATGTAACCTATCATCAGTATAAACGAGTACAGAACTTTGCGAATTTTAACCGGAAAGGGATATAACATTATATTAGGCCAGGATAGAATCGAAACCCTATTTTCGAAATATCGTAGGACAAATTTCCGAGTCCCCTCATGCACTTGCAGTTATGATGGCCCGATGTATAGAAAATAAAGAAGTTATAGAAAATATAGAAAAAAGAAGAAGAAGAAAAAACCGTCACTGAGCGCAACTTTGTAAATGTGCAAGGTCATCTATATTAGCCATTCTGTCCAAGAAAGTCTATCCAAAACCCTCGCTGTAAGCTTCCTAATCGCTGTCTATAACTTTATCTTGCTTTCCATCCAATTCATGTACATCATATCATCTATGTCGCTTGGCTCTATGCCTGTATCATCCGTGTCTAGTCTATTAGAATATTCATGTTCCGTCCCGATACCTGCGAATTCGGGCGATTATGCGGAGTCGGATCCATTTCCTCCCGCTGTGTCCTCTCCACAATCCACAGTGTCCATCCTCCCAATAATGTCCACGCGAAGCTGAGGCTGCGACTTGCACGCCTCCTCCACCTCCTTTGGAACTGGTTTCTCGTCCTCCTCACTCTCCATGACGATCAGATGCGTCAGTTTGCGAGCCATGACGGTCAAGTTCTTGAGCATCGCCACGAAGAGGTCCGTGACCTCCTCGTCAGTGCCCAGCTGATTGAAGAACTCGAGGGTCTCTAACTCCGGCGGCATGCCAACGGAATTCAGGCGGGGCTTCTTCGAAGAGTGTCCAAAGAGCTGATGGTCCCAGTTGAGGCGGAGAGTTTTGAGCTTGACGAAATCTCTCAAGGAGAGCGCTCTGCGATTCCGTAGTAGCGGGTGATCCACAGTGATTGTTTCGAGGGAGTTGCATTGCGGTTGGATTGCAATGATGTAGTCCCTCATGCTGTCTGAGGTCTCCTCCAGGTCTGGTCCAGGATCTGGCGATTGTGTCATGACAAACTCTGTCAACGCGGCCGGGTAATGCATCAAATCGAACAGACCGTCATCGCTAATATCACAGTCGATCAAATGCAGTCTTTTCAGACCAGTCTCTTCGGGGCGTTCGGGAAGATCGAATGGCTTGTCGCCCAGGCGGGCCTTTTTGATTACCAGAGTCTCCAGTGTAGGATGGCCAAAGACGTGTATGTTCTCCTGGAGATCCCAGAACTGGTCATTCTGGCACTGATAGAAGAGTGTACATGTTTGGAGGCAAGCCAAGTCGAAGGGACCGTTGAACAGCTGACCGATACCGTGTAACAAAGCCTCGGGGACAGCAATGTCGAGGGTCACGAGATTCGACATTGTAGAGATTGTCCGAGACAAACTGTCAAAGGGTAGGGGTTTGTCGTACGAGTCTCTAGCACCAGTGACTGGCAACTTGGAGACGACTTCGGAAAGCTGCGAGGCTGGGTAGGCGAGTTTGATCTCGTGAATCGCCGATCCACGACGGGGTCGGCGGTTGAGAGATTGGCCGAAGATAAGGTGCAGTTCAGGCGAAAGGAAGCGGACCGTCTTGTAAAGCACGGCATCGGCCAAGGTGTGGTAGCGACGATTTAGACGGGAGACGCTGCAGATGTCACGCTTGGAGATTTCGGCCGTGGCCTCGAAGATCCTGACGACGACGGTGCTGGGCAGTTTCGCCAGGAGATCGCCCGCGACACTGGACCTGCGAGGGCGCTGTGCGGTTGTGACGACGGTCATGCTCGGAGATGGTGAAGGAGCAGCAGAAGACGGCAGCGGCGACAGCGACGAGAGGAACTGATGGAACCACGAGATCGAGGAATGAGCAAAGGTGGAGATGGATGCCAGGAAGATGGCGGAGGTGGAGCGTTTCCCCAGATCAGACGGGAACGAGTCTGTGCTAAGCCGGGTGCGAAAGTAGGCGAGCATGCCGAGTATGGCGGCGACAATGGTCAGACCATACGGTCGGGAACTGAGTGGAAACGACATGGAAGCAAGCAAGCGAATGAGAGTGCGATCATGACGGAGAAAGGGGAAAGAGAAAAAAAACGTGTTGAGATGAAAGGGAAAGATATAGGCCTGCCCTCGGCCAAAGTAGTACAGGCGAGGAAAAAGAGTTTCAGGATGTGTACAAATCCGTAGGTAGTTAGTGCCACATGTGCCACAACCAACGCCACGAAAACCTTGGCTGAGTTGTCACTGTTGAGTTGAGGCTGAGGCGCTGACTGCCTAGCGAGGTACCTTGTAGCCTCACGGCTACGCGAACTTTGTTTATGGAAAACTGAAGAACTTTGTTCATTGAAAATTTAAAGGTGCTGCTTTTTTAAAGGGTTGCCTGATTATTTTTCGCGTCGCGTCACCCCTTGTGATTTTCTTTATGCTCTTCTTCGTCTGCGCCCTGACGGTTTCGCAGGCACCTGCTACTAAAATAGGACTTTTTGGCTTGTGGTGCTCCGCAAGGATGTTTTGGCCTACATGTTACTCTCCTGAGGGGGTACCTGAGTACCTGACAACCCACCAGTCAAGTGCCTGTAGCTGGAATTTTTCAGTCAAGGTCTCGGTTATCAATACGTCTAGAATTGGTAATAGATATTCGAATAATAAGCTGTATCTGTTTACTCGAGTTTCTGGCTAGCCTAGTGCAAAAGTGGACCAGGACAGCCTCCAGGGCAGCCAATACTCGCCGCCACAGTTGCTTTTAGTCAGGCAACGGAACCAAACTCCGAGAACGGCCAAAAAGTCTAGCCTCGCATACTTTTCTCTCATCCTCCAAACTCCCCAACTAACTAGTTATCGCGACAACCAATCGCTGGCTCCTGGAGACAATCGCTACGGCCAATCCAGACCCTGAGTATCTAACGCACATACGCCGACGACGTAGAGAATGGCCTCCCCCGCCACCCCTCGCTGGGCTGCCCTGGCCCGTGACACCAACGAGACCAAGATCCAGCTCGCCCTCAACATTGACGGCGGCGCATTCCCCCCCGACACCGACGCCCGCCTGCTCAAGTCCGACAACGTCCATGCCTCCCAGAGCAGCAAGTCCCAGACCATTGCCCTAAACACGGGCATTGGCTTCCTCGACCACATGCTGCACGCCCTGGCCAAGCACGCCGGCTGGAGCCTGGCCATCAACTGCCAGGGCGATTTGCACAGTACGCTCAATCCACCTGCCCAACAATTTCCCGCACAGTCTTGCTGACCCTTTGTGCTCTCTCAAGTCGACGACCACCACACGGCCGAAGACGTCTGCATCGCGCTCGGTGCCACCTACAAGAAGGCCCTCGGCTCCCCCGTCGGCGTTGCTCGCTTCGGATACGCCTACGCGCCCCTCGACGAAGCCCTCTCCCGCGCCGTCGTCGATCTTTCCAACCGACCGTACGCTGTTATCGACCTCGGCCTCAAGCGCGAGTTCCTTGGCAAGCTGAGCTGCGAAATGGTTCCCCACTGCTTCGAGAGCTTTGCGCAGGCCGCGCACATAACCCTCCACGTCCACTGCCTGCACGGGTTCAATGACCACCACCGTGCAGAGAGCGCTTTCAAGGCCATGGCCGTTGCCATTCGCCAGGCGGCCTCGCATGTCAAGGGCAAGGAGGGTGAAGTACCAAGCACAAAGGGCACTCTGAGCGCATAAGGGAGATTTTGAGTTCGATGATTGCATGAAAATAGAAAGGAAGCGGCGTTGATTTTATATTATAGACTTTTAAATTTGGTATAGTATCAGGACAGAATACAGTCATAATTTTTAACTCGTGCATCGACATGCTGTCGAGCAGGTTCAAAGTTGACCCTCGAAGCGACACAGCAGCAGGCAACTGCACCCAAAACTGAGCATATCTTTAGAGAACAGAGGGGATAGAGCAATGGCCTGCTAATGAATGTAAGGAGTAAGACTCCGCGATATTATTTTACCGTCGGCGTCTAGAGCTTGATACCCGCTGAAGGGCCAGTTCAGACACTTTCACCCCGCCAAAGTGGGGGAGCCAGTGGCGCACTATGCCCTCTGCTTTTTGGCCCTTCGCTGGTGACTCAGTCAATTGATTTCACGCCTGCATCTTCAAAACAGCTACCGGACGAACCCAACGACCAATCTCGACTAATATTGCCATTGATTGATCCACTTGAATCTGACCAAATCATCATTCGCAAATTACTCCCCGAGACGACCAACATCTACCCGACAAGCAAAACTTCTGCCACTCCTGCATACAGCTGCACGCCCAACGAAATACCACCTCAAGCTACGTCAACATCTTACATGTCGACAGAAGGGGAAAAGCCTGCCGCCGGCGCAGGCGACACGTCAGGAGGTCCGACGCAACCACCGCCAAGCGGTGAGACCAAGAGCTCGTCGAAGGATGCTCCCGCGACCGGCGCGGCGCCGGCAGGCGACAAGAAGCTCTCGGGTGCTGAGCTGAAGAAGAAGGCCAAAGAGGAGAAGGCGGCACGCCGTATGCAGGCCAAGGTTATGCAGACGGCGGCTGCACCACCGGGCGCCGCGGCAGCGGCAGCGGCAGCGGCCGCCGCCAAGGGCAAGGCCAAGCAGGACGGCGGCGCGGGCGCCAGCGCGCACGGCAGCAAGACGGCACCCAGGACGGCACCGACGGAGCCTCCCAAGCCCAAGGCGACGGTGCCCGCGTGCTTCAGCCACCTGTCCATGGCAAAGCGCATGAGCATCACCCAGGCGGACAAGGATGTGCACCCAGTCATGCTGCAGCTGGGCCAGAAGATGAGCACCTTTGCTATTTCCGACAGCATCACACGAGCAGAAGCGACGCTGCTCGCCTTCAAACAGGTACATCCACCCAGCGCCCACGTCCGACTCTGTGATGATGGGCTATTGTTTTTCTAACCCGTTTGCAGGTCATTGAATCCTACACAACCCCCCACGGCGCCACCCTCTCGCGCCACCTCACGTCGGTCGTGCTCAAGAACCAGATCGAGTACCTGACCGCGTGCCGGCCCATGTGCTTCTCCATGGGCAACGCCATCCGCTGGCTGAAGCTGCAAATCTCCAAGGTGGACATTGACTTGCCCGACGCCGACGCCAAGAAGCAGCTCGGCGAGGCCATTGACGCGTACCTGCACGAGCGCGTCACGCTCGCCGACATCGTCATCGTCAAGACGGCCGCCGACATGCTCACCGATGACGACGTCGTCGTCACCTACGCGCGGCACCGCCTCGTCGAGCGCGCGCTGCTGCGCGCCCGCGCCGACGGCAAGCGCTTCCGCGTCGTCCTCGTCGACGACCCCTTTGAGCGCGTCGGCCTCACCCACGCCAAGCGCCTCTCGGCCGCCGGCGTGCCCGTCGCCTACTCGCACGACCTCGGCGCGCTACGCACCAACCTGCAGGGCGCAACCTGCGTCCTCATCGCCGCCGAGGCCATGTTCAGCAACGGCGCCGTCTACGCCCGCGCCGGCACCTGCGACATTGCCACCGTCGCCCGCGACCTCCAGCTGCGCGTCGTGGCCCTCTGCGAAAGCATCAACTTCACGGAGCGCGTCTCGGCCGACTCGCTCACGTATAACGAGATTGACCCGGAGCGCAACTCGAGCGAGGCGTTTCGCCTGCTGTTTGACACCACCACGGACAAGTTCATCTCCATGGTCGTGACGGAGCTTGGAAACAGCTCGGCCAAATCGGTGCCGGCGATTCTGAGGAAGCTGGAGGAGCTGTAGGGGGTTTTCTTTTACCATGCTGGAGTTGATCATATTAAAAGTCGGAGGAGAGAGCTGTATAGAACTAAGAATTTATGAAGATTTATACCCAGCCGAGATGTTCAATAGTCCCCATGCGTGGGAATATCATCGAAACCGATGGAGTAAATAGAATAAACGTAGGTCAATTCTGATGGGATAGCTTTCTTGAGCTCCCATCTACTTAAAAAGAAAAACCTCGTCGGTGATATATACAGATTTCGTCCTCCACCGGCCCCCCCAACACCTGCATTCAAATTGAACGAGTTTGTTTTTACATATGCCAGCCCAACACTGGGCATCATTGCTCTAATCCCGCTACTCGTATCCTCCATGCTTCGCGATGTACCTTCACCCTAAGTCGTTTCGTTCGGTGGTATCGCGCGACGACGCCGCTATCCCAACGTGTCCAATTTACTCGGCCGCCTCAGCCGCCTCGCGCTCCGCATGGCGCGCGCGCTTCTGCAGCAGGAACGCCTTGCGCTCGCTCAGCACCTTGGACTGGCGGTCGTCGACGCCCTGCAGCCAGTAGCCGAAGCTGGCGCCGCCGAGGGCGTACACCGGGTATGCCCACAGCGAGGAGCGGTTGAAGAAGGGGCGCATCTCGATGCCGACTTGCCAGAAGCGAGCGGCGAGGCCTACACGTCGGACAAGGTTAGCATTCGTCGGATTTCCTCTTGATTCCTTGCGGCGTGATGGCCCAGACGGGGGGGTTTTGGTTTCGTGACCGCAAGGCGGCCGTTTGCAAAAGCTTGTCAAGCCGCCACACACAGCTCTAGACCATGTTCCAGGCAGCCATTTGCGGTCCTCTATTCGGCCGATTCCTCTCCACCGGTGTCGTCGTCGGGGGTGGGAGCGAACGTACCGAAGCAACTCCAGAAAGCGATGCGGTGGACCATGGTGGGCAATGGGCGGGACTTGGATCGGAGAGGGAATACGGAGGACTGGAAGAATAGTGTGTTTTTTTGGGTAATCTTCGACGTTGAAGCTGCTCGGGAGCAGGAGGGCGGGCAATTGGTCCAGTCACGGTCGAATGGTAGAAGTCGATACTGGGCCTGTTTGGTTCTGGGAATAAGACTAAACAGCTCGTTGCTGATTGGATCACGTGGAGCTGCACGTGACGCCATTCACAATGAACCAGCAAGCAGCATAACTTGCCACACCTGAGATGACATAAAAAAAGGAAAATAACTTTAATTAGGGTGCTGTGTATCTGACTCTGGGAGTCCTACAGGAAGTTTGATGTCGTCGCGCAGCGACTGGTTGCGTAATAGCACGCCCTGATACGAAAGTGACCAGACCAACTCACACGGGAACCACGCTCCGACAGGTTGTCTGACCAGATCCTTGAGACTCTAATTAAAACTCTAATCTACAAATACAGAAAGTATGATGAGAAATACCAAAACATGCTTCATGCGGATGCCGTTCCATATATTCATCCTCCCAGCTCTCTACTGGCCCCCTTGCGTCCACTGCGTGATCTGCGTGACCATGCGTCCCATGTACTGTTGGATAAACGACTCGGTATAGTAGCTATGGTTCGAGTTGTGCACCGTCACGAGATTGTGCGCCAGCTCGTGCGCAATGACAACCCACCACCAGGTCGCCGCATCCGCCCAGGCCGCGCCACCGTCACTGCCACCATTGGGGCCGACCCGCGCGGCGTGCAGCTGAAGGAAGAAGCGCAGGTTGCAAAAGATGCTGCCGCCCGTGTTGAAGGCAATGGTGTTGCCGCGCTCGTCGTAGTAAATATGTAGTACCGTCGACGAGAGTCCGTAGACGCGGCCCACGTCCACCAGCAGGTTGGCAAAGGCGTTGACGGCATCGTGGTTATCTGATAGGAACTGCTGCGGGTCAACCGACATGTGGCGCGCCGTGTAAATCTTGAGCCCGTTGGGCGCGTTGGATACGTGCTGAATGTCCTTGGCCGAGTTCTCGTCGCAGTACGTCGCCTGCTCCTTGACTTCCTTGACGTCAGGCTGCGAAAAGACAGAGCTGGAGCCGTGCGCGCGCGTTGCGTTGACTGCGTTGGTGAGGTTCTGCTGCACCACTGTCGGGCTGGTGACCGTGCCGGTATCCGCCCCTCCGCTGGAGCTTCCTTGAAGTCCCCTTTGCCTGTCTCGTTGCTCCGACTCGATATACGGCGGCGGTTGTTCCTCTGATGGGGTATCTAAGCCCAAGCGTTTTGTTAAGTTCGAAAACAACCCTCTGCTCTTCTTACCCAGGTTAGACGGCTCCGGGGCATTGTCTTCGGGAGACGACCAAGCACCAGGGAGTTTCTGCTTGGCCTGCGCTGGGGTGGATGGAGCAGCTGGCAGAGCCGGGACGTTAGGGACGGCACGGGCTGCCTCTGCAGCCTGTGGTTCTGATATCATGCCTTGATTGACCCGATTCGCCTCTTGCTCGCGTATGGTCTTTTGTTCCTCTTCGAGTGCTTTTCGCTTCTCTTCTTCCGCCATTCTAGCCTCTGCCGCTTTAACGCGAAGGATACGATCCACGTTGTAGCCTCTGTCCCGCAGGGCGTAAAGGTCGAGCGTAAGAAACGGTTCAAAAAACAGGTACGCTTGCTGGTTTGGGCGCTTCAGCAACATTTGACAAATGGCTTGCCCGAATTGGTACATGTCGGGTTTTGTATCATCTGCGACGTAAAGAATCCAAGCTCCTCTGGTGTAAGACCCGGCAGCGGAGCGACTTTCGGCGTGCGACTGACTCTGCCCCTTGAGAGTTCTTCGCAACGCAACGGAACGAACAACTTCAACAACTAGATTTGAGTCAAGCCACTTTGCGTCGTGCTTGATAAAGTCTCGCCGGTAGTGAGCGTATTCGTACAGGAAAATCTTGGTGCGCTCAATAACGTGCCTTCGGAAGCGCTGGGCAATGGCATCTTTCGATGCGCGACCACCAATTCGAAGATCTTCCTCGACCATGGCACTCAGTCGGTGTGCGCCAAGCTGAATGTAAAAGTCTTCAAGCAAGTCCTCTTCGGGGGCACAAATCAGATGTTCTTTGAATAGGCGATAACTGACTATGTCATCCAGCACGACAACTTGGTTAGCAGTAGCGAATTGATATTGTTTCACAGGCTCCGCCTCGTCTTCGAAATCGATGAGATTTCCTTTTGTGGGCGTGGCTATTTCCTTGTAAGCCGGCAGGAACTTGGAGCTCTGCATCCGACTCCATAAAGCCTTGTCGCGCTGCAAAATGTGACTTTCCTCCGCCAACGACTTGAGAAGGTTGAGATATTTCTCAATGTTCCCGAGAGCAGATAATAGTCGTGCGGGCTCGCTGCATGCCATTTCGGCGACTTCCTTCTTCGTCGGTTCACTTCTGGCACCGCATTTGAAAAGGAATGCGTTAGCATCATTGCCAAAGTCCACAAAGTCAAAGATGGCATCGTAAGTCGGCGAGCTACCAAGATATGTTCGACCCGGTGTGATGAAGGTGAGGCTGCCTCCTCCCTTTTCCTTCGTGGTGCTACTGTTTGAGCGGGAAATCGGCACAATAGGGGCGTTGCGAAGCCTCAGAAGATTCTTGTCGCCGAGCTCACTCAGACGAGATGCAAAGTACCCAAAGAGTGTTACTGCTGATTGGTGATCCCGGGGCGGGCGCGCAAGGAGGCGGCTGACACACTCGAGCATTGGTGGATCTCTCGCGACGCCAAATTTGTTGGCATGGTCATGCAGGTCAGGTCTCAGTACGGAGAAACCAAGAACAGTGACACGCGGATTCGTGAAGCAGGCAGACGGCACGACAAGCTCGTTGCTGTCCTTCAACGGAATGATCGGCTTACGGCAGGTGCTTACGTCAAAAGCGCCGTACATATTCAGATGATGATTGGTGATGAAGTATGTCATGGCGTTGGCGCGCAGGGCTGCATCTCCGGAAGCCATCATCTCTACCAGCTCGGGGACTGACGGAAATGTCCGCAGACCCAAGCTCTTCAGGAAAAGAGCCTCGGCACCGTTGCTGCGATAGCTTCCAGGAGGCCCAGGCCACTGCAGCAGAGGAAGCTTGAGCGCTCGGAGAGTCTCTTGCGGCTCAAACAGTTCGGAGACTTTGAACACCGTAGTGGTACCACATGTTGGCTCCATACCCTTTGGTCCAGCTTCTGCGGGGCAAAGCTTTGACTCCTTGAGCTTCTTCATATCAGCAGAGGGAATATCAGCCTGGACCGAAGTAAGATACTTGATCAACTCCATGTGGCTCCATTTCTGTTGGCCTCCCCTTTCCGAGGTGTTCAGCAGCCGAGTGAAAATTGTCTCCAAGTCGAGTGTTTTCCGGACACCAATGGCCACGAGGAACTTTTCCTTGACCTTTTCACATCCTTGGATGATCGGCAGATCGTCAAACAATTTGACAGTTGGGAAGAAGGCCTCTGCGGGGTACTTCATACCTAGTTTTGTTGGCATGACCGTCCGATTCTGCAGCACCGTGGTAACCGTATTGCGGCTGGCATTGCTCAGTGTATCCCAGTTCTTGGATAAGATGGTCAAAACCTGGACAGCAAACTTGGCAGACTTGGTGAAGCTCTCTTCCTCAGATCGACTATTTGTAGTTTCAAGAAGGAATCGTAGCCAAGGGACGATTTCTAGGGGCTCCCACCCCAGAGACTGCAGCTCAGCGGCGCTTGAGTTGACAGTGAATGAGAATGGTATCGTGGTAGGCGGTATTGGCATGTTAGCCGGTATCCGTGCCAGACTATGGTAGTTGGTGATGCTACCCAACAATATCACTTCACCACTGCCACCGTCACTGCCACCCCCATCCACTGCAGCAACAGCCACATCAAGCAAAGCGGAGCGACTGGCAGGATCCAGCTCTCCAGTCACAGTCTTTTTTCCCAGCCAAGTAATTAAGCTGATGACTTGCGCCTTGCTCAACGCTTTGGCCCCGAGCTCTTTCTTTATGTCGCCCACGTTGATAAGCGTTAGCAGACCAAAGTCAATCAGCTTCTTGACAAACGGAGCGTCAGACATTTGCTTTGGCACCACAGGAATACTGTTGACAAAAGCAGCGAGCTCGTCGATTCCAAGGCGCACCTCCGAGGTTTGCAACACTCCTCTTGATGAGTACATTTCAATCGAAGCCTTCTTGAAGCAGGTCCAGAAAGCCTCCTCCATGATTTGGCCGACTTGGGAGCTAGGTGTGGAATCTGCAAAGGTGTATGTGCCAAGGATGTGAAGCGCTTCCGGCAAATACTTTGAGATGATCGCCTCGGTAATATCGGCACCGGGTTCAACGCTGCCAGTGACCTTTTTGTGCAAGTCGGCCATTTCATTGACGAACGCTAGCCGTACAATGATACCGGCGGCTCGAAGGAGCTCGATATTCCACGTGCGCACCCATCTAGCATTCAAATCAATTGCTTCACGCTCTACCGTGGGGATGACAGACGGGGCGGATAAGTGCATTCCCGCTCCTGTAGTCTGCATGGTCGGGAACCCAATGAAGATGCGCCCGCCGGGCTTCTTGTTGGGCAAGACGGAAGCAAAGACGTCGGTGGCATTGCCAGTACCGTCCTGTAATGACGCGGACTCGGAAGCGGCAGCCTCGTCAAAGGACGCCGTCAAAATCGACAGTCTCGTCTTGGCTGGCGGTGGCTTCTTCGTAGCTCGTTCCAACTCAGAGGCGAAGGAAGAAGTAACAACCGTCTGCACATCGGCCGAGGTTGCACGGAGAAAGATGGACGACGTTTTGATCTTGGTGACATCCTCGGAAATGAGATTCTGCACCTTGTTTTCCTCCACCGCTGCCTTGGACTTGGCACCAGAAGCGTTTGCTGCCAGACGAGAGAAGAACGAGCGTAGTGATGAGGACGCCTCGTTTGAGTTGAACGAATCTGCAACCTTGGACGCAGCTGCACTTTGTGGTTTCCAGCCAATGACGTTCATAAATGAGGCATCAATCTGCGTGCTTGTTCTGTCAACCCCCACCACCTTCATCAGCCCCTCCTTTGTTCTTGGTTCAAGGTTTTTGGGAAGACTCAAGTTAACAACGGGCGAAGTCTTTTTCTTCAAGGAAAGGATGGTGTAGTTGTCGATTTTGAATTCTATACTCTGCAACGCAACAAATGTCAGGCTGGTAGCCAAGAACTGGCCAACCGACAAGAGGTTCGGCATGGGCGTGGTAGTATTTCTATAGTCGAGAACAAATGTCGTGAACTTGCTGGCTTGTTCCTCGGGAAGCTTCGACTTCTTTGTGAACAACGAGTTTCCCTTCCAATAAAAGGCCATTGCTTCGCTACCAGAGCTGACAAATGGCTCTTCACAGTCGGCAAAGACGCTGTAGAAGCCGACGCCAAACGCGCCAATCTTGGTCTCGTCGGGGTTTCCCTCTGCGATTCGCTTCAGCCGACCCCAGTCCCGCTGGTTAAACGGCTGGCCATCGTTCTGGACAACAAGCCGGCGCAGCGTGTGGTTTGCAATGACATGCTTCAGCTGGTCCGATCGGTCGGTCGTGTTCGGCATGGGCACGCTGGTCGAGGGCAGCGTCTCCCAAGTGACCGTGACGGACGTGGCCTGCGCATCCGCCGCGTTCTGTATCAGCTCTCGCAGCGTCGTCCACTCCCCCGAGTACCGCGCCAGAACCTTGTCGATGAGGGCCCTGGTGTCGACGGTGACGGCCTCTTCATCCTCTGCGTTGCGCAGGGCGGCCGCTCGTAAATTCGAATAATCCATTTCGCCGGGCTATGCTATGAAAGAACATGAAAGAGCACGAAGCCGCGTTATATGGTCATGGTCTGACGTGTCGTGAGGTCGGAAGGGGAAATAGGCAGCCGAGTGGTGACGGGGGTGCCTCCTGTAGCTTCTTTGTGGCAAACCGTCCGTCGCACACACTGGCGTCGGGGATGAAGGCAGACAACGGTGTGGCGAAGCGTGCTATGGGGAATCTAGGCAGAAACAAAGATAGGCAGCTATTCGCCCAGTGCCCGAAACACCGTGAATAGGTAGAATGTTGACGCAAGGCGGACTCGGTCTCTCCAACTCTGTGCTAGAGTGCCGAGCCGAGCCACTGAAGGTTCCACCGTAGCACAATCGCAGTTGCACGCGGGCGTGTTACAGCATTATCCTACATGACTGGCTATAACGGGGCGTCATGATACGTGAATTTTTTAAAAATAAATTCATACAGTATCTGAATCAATTATTGAACTAATTCCCGGCTGACCTATTGCTATTGTTAGTGCTGCCTGGGCGCGAATCTCCGGACATCAGTCGCCGTTTTCGAAGCTAGAACTGCCATCGAAGGTTTTACTGTTTCGAGCCGTCGAATTATAATATCAAGTCACTACTACGGTTTTCTTGTCAGATATCTGTCTACAGCTGGCTACTTCGTCCCTTGTCTTGGCGCGCTAGAATAAGGTAGCATTCACCTATCTAGGCAGATAGCTACTCGACCTCCTCTGCCACACATTTCCAGATCTTTTGAATACCAGCGCACGCTTCATCACTAAGCGACCCTCTCTCTATTCCCGCAAGCGTTTCGTCCAGCTGTTCCGGGCTGCTGGCGCCGATGATGAGCGCATCGCCCTTGTCCCCGTCCAGCGCCGAATGTTGCGTCATCCAACGGTACGCCAAGTCGGCCGCGCTGCACCCCTCCGCGTCGGCCAGCGCATTCCACTCGGCCAGCGCCTCCATATACTTGGGCGCGCGCAGATACGGCCTGCACGTGGCCGACACAGAGTCCATGTCGCTCTGCAGCCGCGCCGCCTGCGCCACCGTCTTGCCGAGGAAGCCCCCGGCCGAGGGCCCAAAGGCATAAAACGCCATCCCTAGTTTTCGGAGTGTCGGCAGCAGCGCCGTCTCCTTGTCGCGGCTCAGCGGGTTGTAGCTACCCTGGTACACGGCGGGCAGAGGGTAGTCTCGCTCGAGGCAGTGGTTGTAGACGGCTTCAATTTCGTGCGGCGGGAAGCCAGACAGCCCGAATCGGCGGAAATACCCTCGCCGGTATGCCTCATTCACGGCAGCCAGAGTTTCCGGGAACGGGGTCAGAGGATCCATTTTGTGAAGGTAAAACGTGCCGGCTACAGCGCCTAACCTCTGGATGCTGTCCTCGGCTGTCTCTATAATTCGGCTCTTGGTAGCCCACGGGGTTGTCTCCGTCCAAGAGGAGGGACTCCATTTCGTATCTAGAGTGAATCTTTCGCCGGCGTGTACCTGTCCGAGTGCAGATTCGGAGTTGCCATAGGCCTGTGCCGTGTCGATGGTGGTAATATTGTGCTCACGCAAGATGGCCAAGAATGATTCGAGGCCGGTCTCTGGTTTGAACAGTGCCCTGTTGCCGATTCGTGTCCCGCCAAAGACGATCGCTGCGGGCTTGCGCATCATGTTGTTGACGAATATTGAGCTCTGAGAGAACAGAGTTCTCCATACCACATTCTAGAGGTGCAATGTCAGATGGACGGCTGAGTGATGCTAAACAACTTTAGCGGCCGTCTTATATAGTGGGGGATGCTGGGTGGTCATAAATTCTTAAATGCGACTCTTGGAGGCGATGCAAGCAATCATTGTGCAGATAAGCACGGGTATCATGAATTTAGGCTACTAATTTATCAATGCTGCCGATAGAAAATATCACCGCTGTGGACTTTACGCACGATTGGCGTGCCTGCGGTCGGGTGACTTTGAGCGGCTGCGGTGTCTGGGCCTTTCACCCCGATATCTCTGTCCTCCGCGCTCGCGGCTTCGTTCTCTTCTCTTCCTTTCATCATGCCTCCCATGCCTGTCATCCCTCCCGTGCCTATCGTCCCGCCCTTGCCTAGTGGCCCTCTCACGACTCCGTGGTCTGCGATCCCTATGCTCACGACCGCGACTGCGACTTCGGTAGCGGCGTCGCTCCCCGTCCTCTCCATCTCGGTCACGGCTTCTGCTGCGACTCCTGCGTCTATTGTCAATATCTCGATCCCGCCTCCCTCCATCGCGATGGCGGCGTGGCTTGTCTCGGCCGTGCCTCGCGCCATCTGGTTTTTCCATCTCTTCTGGCCCCAAGGCAGGGCCAATCTGTCTCGTATTGGCCACCTCGACAGAGTTGGCGCCAGTCGTGTCCCTCTGCTTTACGGGTAGCCCCAGCGCGCGCGCAATCGCATCCTCCTCCAGTTCTTTGACTTTGCGCAGCTCCTCCTTGCGCTGGCGCGTTTCGCGCTCCTCTTCCGTCTCGTCGGCGTTGGCGGCCGTCGCACCGGCGTTGGCGTACCAGTTGAGATCTTTTCCTTGCTGCCAGCGGCCCACGGGTGCCTTCAGACTGTGACCCAAGTAATTTTCGCGGCGGGACGAGTTGGCGACCTCGTCCCAGCTAAAGTTGACGCCGCCACGCGAGCCTGTCTTTCGAACCGTGTTAAGAAGATCCATGGCCGCGATGCTCGGTGCGCATATAATTATTCTCCCTTGTTGGTGAATGTTGATTTGGTCAAGGAATTCGGTGCATAAAAATACCTGCCCGCGTTCGGGAGGCAGTTACTGATCGCGCAAGGTGTAGAGTTGGGCGCCGACAACGTCTCTGTGGAATCTTGATGCCTGGTCGCCTGCCTGATTAGTCAGCGGCTGTAACTTGGCAATCCCTAAACAGAAAACAGAAATGATCAGCAAGTCAACACCAAAGGGCCCTTCTAGGCTAGGGCAGTCTTCACAACCTTCACAACTCTAACTAGATGTTACAGATGGTATTAGAGACGTACCTAAACACCATATCATCGCCGCCCGCGTTTGTATTATTGATAAGATGTCTAACTAGAACCGCGACTTGTACTTTCGGAAAATCGGACACTTGAGAAAAATCTCAAAGAGGACACTGAGTCTCACCAGAAATACGCTAGCCAGCTTCAAAAGACTCATCGGCAGTACGTAACGACAACAGGGTCATGACAAAGTGTTTGTCGCGCATGATAAAATGGGCATAATATTCTCTGTCAAGGCACCTGAACGACACAGCCAGCCGTCACCAGGGAGATAAAATAGACCGCCGGCTAAGAACTCTATTCCTTCGATAATTTTACTATTTATTGATTTGCTTTTACCAGTCTAGTTCTATTTACAGCAGTCTTCAGGGCCAACTGGGAAATCCAACTTCACTGACTTGCCTTGCACCTTTAATGGATATGCAGCGTGGTTGTTAAGTGCCTCGGGCACTAGCAAGCAAGATGTGACGCGAAGGTAACATCTTCTATAACGGACGAAACTAAGTGTAACAAACAATGACTAACTCTAGAATCTAAAAGATAAGCAAGGGGAACCGGGCCATCAAAATCTGAGTTCAGTTCTGACAGACTGAAGTCGAGAGTGTGAGCCGGGCCACCATCCAACACAACCCTTTGAGCCAACACCTCCTGAATTCCCGCTTTTCTCCATTCATGTCTCTCTTTAAGCCACTTCTAGCCAATCCTCGGGAGAAATGGTGCCATTCCAAGGCGTCTTGTTATTTTTGGCCGCAATGGCTAGATTGAGATCGGCAAACTTTTTCATCTGCATCTTCTTGGGGACGTCTTTACAAGTTGCCGTGAATGTGACACCTATGAGAAAAAATTGGGGTCAGAACATTTCCGTTTACTCCGGGAACAGTCTGGGGAGCACATACCTTTGAACGTCCAGCCATTGTCAAAGATACCAGCTGACGAGTCGTCATCGTCAATGGCCGCAGTCGTGAGAAGTCGAATGTCCACGGCGGCCTTACTGAACGTCTTCTGGAGGTCAATCTTTCCCTCTGACGTGGATTTGCCATCAAACGAGTTTCCAAGCTCAATCTTGCCGTCTCCAAGCTTCAGCGTCAGCTTGTCACCCGTTCCGGCGCCAAGGCCACTGCCCAACGAGAATGCGTAGCTCAGGTCCTTGATGATGGTGCAGGGAGGGGCAAATTGCCAGTCTGCAGGAACGACTGGGAAAGTGGCCAGATTCTTCTTGTCAAAGTTGGAAGGGTAGAAGATGTCGCTGAAAATCCACCAACCCTTCTGCGGACGTTCGTACCAGGCGTTGATCCCGACGTACTTGTAATTCTTGGCAGCAAAACCGGGATCAGCACATTTGGCGCGAAGACGAAGATCTTGAGGCAAAGAAGTCGTTAGTAATAAGAAGGTCGTACTTTTCTAATTGCTCTTACCTTGGACCTTGAACTCGTCACTTGCGGCCCCGCCGCCAAAGAAGAATGTCTCCGCAGTGAGAGTGAGGTTGTTAATGCCGGTGATGTCGATAGAGTCGGCTTTGAAGGATTTCTGCATATCCACAGGAAGCCACATTGAATCTCCTCCCGCAGGTCGATGAGCAAGGAGCAACTCGGCCTTGCCAGCCGGGCCTTCGAGGATAGCACCGACATCATCTTTGGTCCCCTCTCCTTTGATCGACAGCCAACTGCTGGCTAGAGTGAAACCAATCTCAATGTTCTTGATCTTCTTGCAGGGATCTGGGATTTTCTGCTTTTGCACAAGATCTTGGGCGCGCCGACAATCAGCCGTTGGATCTGCGAGAAAAATCATGATTAGCATGGAATTCAGCATTGATGTCCTGACAGAATGATGTACCTTCTGCTGTAGCGGCATCTTTTTTGCCCGGTGTATGGATCTTGTATGTGATATACATCTTCTCAAGTGCAGACGCGCAATCCAAGCCAGAAAAGTCCCCGTTCTCCAACTTCTTCAACTCGTCCTCTTTGAGAGGGCCGTCTGACTTGGCTGTCGGTGGCCGCTGGATCTGCGTAGCCATTTCACGGGCACGATCATAATCGCTGCTCGTCGATTCTGCGGCAAAACCAGGGAGTTAGCAACGATAGCGGTATATTACAAGGTATGAAAGTAAATACCTTTAGCACGAGTCCACAGTGCAACATCTGGTAGGGACCTTCCGGGTCTAGGGTGATTCGAGTATGCCGAAAGAGCAGCAACTACAGCCACGCAACTAAGCCCAGAAAACTGGCCGGTTGCCCATTGGTTGATATGTTCTTCGTCAACGTCCATTGGATCCGACGTATCAGGGGCTGGAGCTTGCGGTCCGCCATTCTCCTGTTGCGAAGTACTTGGAGCTTCAATCTGTGGCCCACCATCTTGCGTTTCGGGATGAGCTTTCTGTTCGTCGACCTCTAGTTGCTCGATGGCTGGCTCTGCGTGGTAATAAGGTCTCCTGTCGAGGCCCTTGGATCAACGGCGAAGTAGGCAAGAATCCTAGTGTTTTGCATAGTTGACGTGATATCGCGACCATTTGGGTCTGCCTGGTAGTCAATATAGCGGGCATACGGTGTTCCGGGGTTCCTAGAAATTCATCATGTTAAAAGCACTCGTGGGTCGAGGGATCAAGTGGATAGTACTAACGTGCAGACAACAGCATGGCCAACTACCCCGTTTGCGTCGGGGCGAATACTTCCAGTCGCGTCGGGAATAAGGTATGCAACTCCCATAGTACGCGGCATACCTGTCGTCCTAGGAAATGCTAAATAAAGAGGCAGACCACGGTGCAGAGGCCGGTTTCGAATCGGACCCCCTCCGCCTTGAGGAGGAGTCTCATACATCCAGACTTGAAAGACAAGACCAAGTCTGGCAAAGATGGTGAGAGCTTCAGTTGTACCTCCTGTGTCCGGCTCGGGGATCGAAATGTTTGTACGGCGAGAAACTTCCTGGGGTGTCGTGCCCAGGAGGTGGGCAACAGTAACAAAGACGCAGTCGGCGCGAACAGGTGTCTTTACAAGCTGCGCTGCAAGCTCATCCAAGCTTTTGAGTGTTGGTGGATCCTCTCGCCGCATCAGTTTTGCCTTGGCCGCACTGTTCAAACCATCTAGATGTATGTATTAGCTTCCGGGTCTGTAGTATACGTAGCTTAACTTACTTGTGGTGGGAAGGTTATTGCTAATAGTGCTGCCAGCACTATTATGTGGACCGGGAGCTATATCTGCTTGACTGACTTCTACAGCCTTTCCCATAGGCCTAGAGCCATCCGTAGTAGGTATAACACTGCTGCTAGCTTGTTGAAGGCATAGCAGCGCGGTTAGAACCGTGGAGAGCGAGCCTTGATACATCTTTTGAGAGTTCCCGAGGTGTGAGTACTAAGCTTGCTGTGAGTTTAGGAGCAGATAATAGTCTAGAAGCTCCATCAACAGAGGCCCTTTTATATAGTTTTCTCTTGCTAGGCCGAATGTATACTCTCCACGTATTCTAGTATAAATGAAATCCGGTAAAAAGTTTATGTGACATTGTTCCTGAATTCCCATTGCTTCATTAATGCCAAGTCGTATTACTCTCTTAATGCCAGGTTGGATTGATAATAAGGAGTGCGATGACACCTATCTCCAAGTTAGAATGTTGGCAATAACTACAGACAGTTAGATCCTGCATTCGTTTAAAGGGCCCCGCCTAGCGCCGGGTCAAAAACTTCACAGGCTTTGTGACCGAGGCTCGCGCCGGTCCGGTCGAGAAGACGAGCATCGGCTGTTCCGACACTTGTGGCTACTCGTGTGTTTAGCGGCTACTAGTGCCTGAATCCAAGGTGGTGATGCTGTAGGGCGCATCGCGCAGAAGTACCCAGGAAAGGGAAACTCTTGGGGACGGTGCCTTTTCGAGGCTGGGGGCCTATTGCATATCGAAGAATTCACTTGGTCAAAGATGCATTGCGGTACCTGGTGCCGGCTATAAGCTTTGCCAGCTTTAAGCTACAAAAAGAGTGAGAAATTGCTGCTGCAAATAGCCAACAGCGGCTGATGTCATACGTTATGGCGTTTCAACTTTGCAAAAACGGGGTTCAATGGTGCACCGTACCTTGCAACCAGCTTTACATAGTGCAACAGTTGACATAAGAACCACCTACCTATATATCTTGCTCGGAAAGTCTGCGCAAGTTGGCCCGTTGTGCCAGCTCTTCTGCCCCCGTATAGTCATTGAATACTTGATCCATCTGCTCCAGTGTCTTGCCGTTTGTTTCCGGCACAAAGAAAAATGTCCATAGACCTGAGAACAGACAGAAGCATGCGAAGAAAAGGTATGCTCCCCAGCCCGTGTTTTGAACCAGCGGCGGAGTCACCAGTCCCTGTGGTATTGCTTAGTGCCGTGCCAGTGGTAAGCGTGGTTAGAATACTCACAATGACGAAATTGTTGATCCAATCTCAAAGAAGACTTATTGTTAGAGGAGTTGCATAAGAAAACCAAGGCATGTATACGTACTCGAACATGTTGAAATGGCAACGCCCTTGGCTCGTAGCGAAGATGGAAAGATTTCGGCAGGCATGGCCCACGGGACCGGTCCCCAGGTAGCTCCAAACGCCAGCATGTACATGAAGAGAAAGGCAACACTCGTCCAACCCGCAGTCGTATGCTGCGGCCAGTTGCCCGAGTACAATCCGACTAGAGAAGCAATGATGGTGTGAGAGGTGAACATGGCAGCGCTACCAGCCAGTAGTAGCTTGCGCCGCCCAAACCGATCCATAGTCCATAGGCTGGAGACGACACCGATGAGTTGCACGACGTTCACGACACCGGACATGACAAGGCTCATATTGTGATCAAGGCCCATGGTTCTATACATAATTGGTTAATTACGTTTGACTTATGCGAGGACAAGGCATGGCCTACCCAAAGAGTGTCGGCGAGTAATAGATCAGGGCATTGATGCCGACAAACTAGCCAAATTAGCCATCTGTCCAATATTGCCGCTCGAGAAGATTTCTCACCTGTTGAAAAAACATGAGGCCAGCGCCCACATGGGTTCTCCTCCAACAGCCGGGCAGGACACAGTCTACCCAGCCGGCAAATTCTAGCTTGACCTTGTTCATCATGCCGCCAGTCGTGAGGCTGGGGTGGCGCTGCTTCACAATGGCGGCCTGGAATTTCGCGTCTGTCACGATGTCGGACCACTCCCTCTGGATCCGAGCATCGGCCGTTGGTAGACGTCTCAGCTTTGCCAGTTCGGCCAAGGCCTCCTGGTCCCGGCCCTTGGATGCTAGCCAGCGCGGCGAAAAGGGCAGGAAGATGGCAGCGACGCCAAGTATGAGGCCTGGGATAATCTGAAGAAGAAAAGGAAGCTGCCAGGACCAGTGCGAGTCAATGTACTGTGTGCCGTATGTAATCCAGAACGAAACGACGATGCCGACCACAATGCTGAGTTCTTCCAGAACGAGCAGGGTACCTCGGATTTCGGGTGGTGATATTTCGGAAATGTACAGCGGAACAACCATACTTAGCCTATGCGAGGGCAAAAATAGTCGAATAAGCCAAATGCTCAACACGTAGGGTACGGCATCTCAATTTTACTCACATTCCGATGCCAATACCCCCAACCAGTCGAGCAGCGACCAGCATAGGATAGTTCACTGCTGCCGTCTGCAACGCGGAGCCAATGGTAAAGATGACCACGGCGATCATGATGGAATATTTTCGCGAATAGGCGTCGGCCAACCAACCTTGATTCATAGCACCTTTGACCGTGTCAGCATGTCGGGCTGGTGGCAGCTAAGTCGTCGTCTTACCGATGAAAGCGCCCAGAGTAATCATGGCGGTCATGAGTCCCTTGTAAAATCCTGCTCCGGGAGCTGTATCGGACACCTCGCCGAATCTATGCAAGAATTGATCCATGACGAGAATGACAGAGATGACACCCTGGCTGCGCAAAGGGTCAGAAAGCGGGCGTGCACAATTGATTGGGTCGAATGAAGACGTACTCGTAGCCAAACAGGATGCCGCCGATGGCACTGAGAGATGCGCATGCGACGACATACGGTGACCGGACGATGCCACGGATCCCTACACCCAATTAATAAACAAAGATTGGTGCCCCCCCTCAAGATGGCAAGACTTACCTGCTGGCCCATAAGGCTCGTACAGCTCGACGTCAGCCCGGGTAGAGACAGCCTCGGCGTGCTCACTATGTTCCAATGCTGGCTGCTTTCTATCCATTCTCTTTCGTAGTCTCCAGTTTGGCAATCTGATAAAAATGGCTGATAGGCGGGTGAAAACTGTCTGGGAGCACCGACAAAGGCAAGGACAAACGGGAAGGAAATGGGGTATTTATTACCACGGTACTTTGAAGCGCATGACTTCCCATTTGCCGACGCAAACGAAACCCAGCAAGCGGGTAGAGGGCAATTATACGGTGCCGGCTGCCAAGTGGCTTGGAAACCCGCGACTCTATTGCCGGGGAAGAAGCTTCCAGGTCGCGTTGGCGGGGTGGCGCGAGCCAGCCCTGCTAGAGACGATTGGGGGGGGGGGGGGGGTGATACCCCGGACGCGGGAGTGAAGCCATCTGCGGGTTGTCACATCCCGTCAGCAGATGTCCGACGATCCGTATTGGACAAGGACGAGGCTGCAATTGCCCACCGCGGCTAAATCGGGTTAGCAGCGGCGAAATAATCCCGAACTGAGTCTAATGAATTCATTCCAACTGTCAACCCTGGGGATCTCGCTCAGACTTACCCCATATTCTGCTTCTGGAAGGCTTCCCGGTCTGGTGTCCGACAGCACAACATAATATCAACGGCTTTCCCAGGATTATTGAAACACTTACAAGCATTCAAGGAGAAGATATGATTCGCAATTCGCGAGACGTGCCAAATACGCCGTGTGCGGTAAGCCAAGCTACCCCCTTCTCCTCTGTTTGGTCTGCGTTTGTCTGTTTGGGCGTGCGTTGCGAGCCAGCCCAGCCAGCCCAAGCTGCAATGAAGTTGGCACCACTGACACCTGCTTAGAGCTGCCGGAAGAAACACCTGAGATGCGACTGGAGTACACGCCTCGAGGAGGGAGCAGGGCCGGCGATGGCGTGCCGCCGCTGCTCCCGCCTCGGAGAAAAGTGCATCCAAGGCTTGAACGTGCGGTTCAAGCGCTCCCCCGATGAGTACCAAGAATCCCACACTACTTACCCGCTGGGGGCAATAGATACCATGAGCGAATATTAATTAATTCTCTAGGTTCTGTATTGAACCACACCAGCGCTGGGTCCCGTGTCCGCGACAGGGTAAAACGCCCCATTTCTGGAGTGCATCTGTCGCAATATCCAATTCTAATGTCAATCACAAGTGCGCTTCGTTGACGAGACCCCCTACGTTGCGGAGGATAGTTATCCTTTCATACCAGATCCTGTCTTCACTTCTCACGATGACGTGGCTGAGCTGCGAAATGCCCCAAGAGGGGCAATGGCTACGAGTCCTAAAAGTCCGCCTCACATGGCATCACAATGTGGCCTTCCCAATCCGGCAGAGCGCCCTTTGTGCTCGCCTCCAGAAGGCTCTAGACTGTTGCTCAATTCGCTGAGCAGTGGCAGTGCGGCACATTCGGTTGCCTTTCCTCTACGGGACAATGGCGAGGCAAGGCTGATGAAGTACTATCTCGAGTACATGTGCAACTGGGTGAGTAAGACCCGGCGCCGTTGAATTACATGGCATAATCCTTTTTCTCCAGTTTGATTTATGCGATGTCTCCCGGCAGTTTGCACTCACGGTTCCGCTGCGGGCCATGTCCTCCCCAACACTGCGCAACGCCATCTTTGCGCTCTCCAGCCGGCATCTGAGCTTGCGCGGGCAATTCGATGAATACGCATCCACACGATATCACCAAGAGTGCCTGCGCCAACTCGGCAGCGTGTCACATGGCTCTCCCGACTTGTTGGACGACAATCTTCTCGCTGCCACCATTCTGCTGCGCACTCTAGAGGAGCTTGACGGTCAGTTGAGAAACCTGGCCACATCTGTCTGGGGCATAGTAGCTCACACGTGTCCCTGCAGTGCCTCTTCTGGGAAATGACTACGAGTCACATCTGTTGGGCATTCAGGTATTCATGAACACCCATGGCCCCGCCGTTGTCGCGAGTGACCTTCGAAAGGCGTCCTTCTGGGTCGGCTTGCGCCAAGAGGTGACGATGGCTTTATCCAGCCAACGGCCAATAAAAATATCTCTCTGTCACAGTTTTATCGACCAGTCATTGACTGACGCGACCGACGACATGTGGGCGAACCGCATCATTGTCCACTGCGCAGACGTTGTCCAGTTCTGTTTCGGTCATGACAACCAAAAGTCGGACGACTACCGGCGGTTGCTAAAGTACGATGACGATTGGCTACATTCTCGGCCTCCGTCGTTTCTCCCCGTGGCCTTTTCTGCCGCCGATCCTGGGCTAAGTGAGGCGTTTCCTTGCATCATGTACTTGAGCCATTCTGTTGGTGCGTTAAACCTTGTCATCCACTTGCGATAGTTCTTTTCTGGGGAGGTGAGACTGACCCAACTTTTCAAGTCATTTCTGTCATGCACAGTCTTCTTGCCCGGGCGCTATTACTATGTCACGACCCAACATTGCCCAAGATTGGGGTAACTCGTCAAACCGTGCTCCAAAATCGGGATGATGAGATTCGGCAACTGATTCGGCAACTTTGCGGAACGGCGATGTCAAACAAAGCGACCATACCAGCCATGATTACGGCGTCGCTGGGAATTTCCTCTTGCGGAGACCGGTTCACCAGTTATGTAGAAAGAATAGCGCTCTTGGATCTCCTCGTCATAACCCACACGGTCCATCTGTGGCCGACGGAACATATCCAGACAAGCCTCAAGAAAGCGTGGGGGTGGATCTAGATTAAGCACGAGGTAAATTCAATATGATGCAAGGTAGTGCACGCGTGCTGACGGGGCGAAAGCCGAGACCGGCCATGACCTTGTCGTAGGACGGATGCAGTCCGCCGCCGAAAGTCACCAACTTACGAGCAAAGGTTCAATACCTTATGCATGTCTCTCCGCCAAGAGGATCGTTGCCAAGCACAGGAACGGTGGCCACGGAAATATGCTCCCAACCGGTTCGGAAAAAGTTGCCAAAGATTCCACAGCCGGGGCATTTCGCCGAGAAAGGTCGCCGCGCACCAGCTCCCGTCACACCGTCTAAAGAAATATAACATCGGAAGTAGAACCAGAGCAATTGATCCCGCAATCGGTGCAAAGAAATAATAAAGAAACAGAAAATCACAGCATTTTCAGCATGTCAGGGAATATAAATAGAGGCCCCGGTACAACTTGCGCCACCCTGTTTGCCCAACCTCATGCCCAGACTCCTTTGAAGCATTTCGCTAAAAGTAGAGACAGAAGTTTCGAAATGCCTCCACGAAAGCTCCAAGTTGGCATAGCCGGCCTCGGCCGCATGGGAAAGCGGCACACCGTCAACTTTTTCCAATCGGTGCCGCGCGCCGAGCTCGTCGCCGTCTCGTCGCCGGACGCGGAGGAGCGAGATTGGGCGTCCAAATTGCTCGGCCCATCCGGCGTCAAGGTGTACTCGAGCTACGACGCGATGCTCCGGCACCCAGGCCTGGAAGCCGTCATCGTGGCCTCGGCGACGACCGTTCACGCGACGCAAGCCATCAAGGCCATCGAGGCCGGGAAACACGTCCTCTGCGAGAAGCCGCTGGCGACAACGGCGGAAGTGGTACTGTCCCCCCCATGACAAGCTTCTTGCTCAGCTTGGTCGGCCCGCTTACACTGGTGCAATAGTCCCAAACAGTCGTCGACGCCGCGGCGACGCGGCCCGATCTCAAGGTCATATGCGGCTTCTCCCGCCGCTTCGACGAGCACTACCGCGACGCGCACGCCAAGATGAGCGCGGGCGACATTGGGCGGGCGTCGGTGCTGCGCAGCCAGACGTGCGACATGCTGGACCCGTCGGGCTTCCTCGTCGCGTACGCCGAGTTCAGCGGCGGCATCTTTGTCGACTGCTCCATCCACGACGTGGATCTCGCCCTGTGGTTCTTTGGCGAGGACGACGACAGCAAGGTCAGGTCCGTGTGCGCCGTCGGCATCACCGCCGTCGAGCCCGGCCTCGGCCGGTACAACGACCGGGACAACGCCATGGGTCTCGTCGAGTTTGCCGACGGCCGCATCGCCCACCTCTACTCGTCGCGCATGATGGCCGCCGGCCAGGACGACGCGACGGAGATCATCGGCACCAGGGGCAAGCTGAGCGTCAACAGCCTGCCCGCCGCCAACCTCGTGCGCGTGTACGAGGCGGGCGGGATTCGGCAGGAGCTCCCGCAGAACTACTGGGATCGCTTCAAAAACGCGTTTGCGCGTGAAGCGGTCGAGTTCACCGACTGCTGCCTGGACGACACCGAGGTGCCGGTCAAGTTGACCACTGCGGTGGCGGCTGTGCGGATTGCGGCGGCGCTTCAACAGTCCATGATTACAGGAGAAAAGATTTGGTTTAATCAGCTCGGGCAGCAGGCTATCAAGGCTCAGCTATAGAAATATGTACATTATGAAGATGATATATTTTGAACCGGAGCTTAGAAGTAGAGGAGAGTACTGCTATTCACGGGTGACTAAACCGAAGCTAGGCGTGATCTACGCAGTGAAGCCGGCGAATGAAGATCAGCAGTCAATAAAGTGAGGAATAGTCGTCGAGAAGGTGATTTAGACCATAATTCCTGGAAATTCTAGCTGCATAGCTGGTTGGCGGCCAATCATGTAACTGGCGAGACGCAAATGAATCAACCAACGCCAATCAAATAGCCAAACAGTTTGCTAGAGGGCGGTTTCCCATTCCTTGAGCTGGTGTACGTTCATCTCCATTGCCATGGAGAGCAGTCCAATATCCACGTTCCCGAGAATAAACCGCGCCCCCAACGACTTCACCACAACCTGACAAATATCCGGACGTGAATGCAAACCACCCAGCCCAAAGATCTTTCCATGTCTCTTGCAAGCAGCGGAAACATCCTGCAGCGCCGTCTGAAATTTCACATGCTCCCACTGGCCCACGACGCCGAGCTCAATAGCCAGGTCGGTTGCGCCGACAAACAGCATGTCCACGCCGGGCGTGGCCGCGATGCCGTCAACGTTGGCCAGCGCCTCGGCCGTTTCAATCATGACGATGACAGTCGAGGCCACCTCGTCGAGCCATTGCATCGCCTCCGCCGCGTCCGTCCTCTGGTAGTGAAAGTGAGGCAGCGCCGCAGCAAAGGACCGCTTTCCGCGCGGCGGGAACTTGCACGCGCGCACCGCCGCTTCAGCCTCGTCTAGCGATTATGAGTATATGTTCCCAGACGGTGAGAGGGGATTCTTGGTATGGCATACCGGGGCTGCTGACATGCGGAAACACAATGCCCATGGCGCCGCCGTCGAGGAGCCTCTGCACGAGCCCGTTTCCGCATTGATACGGAACTCGCACGACAGGTGTGATGCCGACCAGCAGCGCTGTAGCGCTTAAGCGGCTGGCTTCGGCACAGGACATGCTAGACTGCTCGAGATCGATAAAGATGGAGTCGTAGCCGGCAGACTTGGCAAGGTGGACGATTTGGTCGCCGACAACGATCTTGGAACCGACGGCCTATTTGGTGTTAGTGGGGGTTCCTGGGGTTAGGGGCTACTGTTTTACTGTGCACAGGCGGTCCTCGGCTGCTCGTAGAGTGATGTTGTTCTTCATTGTGATAGAGCATCTGATATTCCATGCCAAGCTCATAGGCGTAACAAAGACCAACGATCAAGGCGTCGGGCAAGTGGCGGAGCGTACAAGATGGCTGCCGGATTCCGACCAAGTTGCGGTTTCGGAACCCCACCGCCGTTCGCTGGCCAACGGAGTTGGAAATACATAGAAGTTGTGATTTCTCGCAAGCTTGTTACTGAGGAGTACTACTGGTCAAGTCTGTGTTTGGGTATGGGGCCGGTTGGCGGACGGCCAACTGTGATGAATGGATTCACGAATAGGATCAACTTAAATACCAAGAATATCCATCCACAGGTTCAACTCTTTGCTAGTTGTAGACCATTTCAATTTCTGGGTAAAGTTGTCGGTCGAGCCTTTCGAGCTCAGCCTGAACCCAACCTACGGCGAATTCCGTTATGGTCGCATTATATGGCAACTAGATAGTTGCTTTCTATTCTGAAACTATAAATCATTGAAAATATGTATAATCCTTGAGCAAACACTCAAGGTTTGTACAATTACTGTAAAAAGAAGGGTCCTGCAACTACCCTACCATCTCCGATGCTAAGGGCTAGACTAGGTTTGGCTAACCAGCTGACAGCCTCAAAGCCTCAATCAACAACTTCTAACTCCATATGTCGAATCCGTCGATTTGTTGCCCTTTCCGGCGGCATCGAGACTCCTGGCAAGAAAGGAGGCGATCAGAACCCACATTGAGAGCACCCCTCACTGATCACATGAATGCTGACCGGCCAGCTGCTTCCTGCACAATGCACCATCATCAGCTCAACCCCATTAGCTACGAATAGCCTCAGCATCAGGGTTGTAACCTTTTGACTCGAAATGGTTCTCGCCCCTCTCTCCTTCCTGCGGCCGCGACAGCCGTCGCGGACCCCCAACTGGGACCAAGCAATCCTGAAGCTGCCCGACACGGCGGACCGGACCTTTGGCGTCCGGTTTGCCTGGCAGCGCGGGCTGTATTACACGAGTGTGCACGACTTCCCCGCGCAAGACGCGCGGCAGCAGGACCGCAAGTCGCTGTACCACCCGCCGCCGCACTACCACTTCTTCGCCGACGAGTACTTTGTGGTCACGCGCGGCTCCGGCACCTGGCACCTGTGGGATCGCGACGTGCGCCTGGCCGCGGGCGACACCTTCAAGATCCCCGCGCGCGCGTGGCACTGGTTCGAGGGCGACCAGAGCGCCGACGCGCCGCTGGCCATTGAGGTGTACTTTGACAAGGGCCAGCCCGTGGTGGAGGAGCGCTTCTTCCGCAATATCCTGGGCTACCTGGCCGACTGCCATCGGGAGGCGATGGAGCCCAGCATCTGTCAGCTGCTGATTTTCTTTCATCACTTTGAGATGGTGCCGGGGCTGAGGATCGCGCCGTGGGAGAGACTGAATCTTGCTCTGAATATAGCCATCCTGTATGTCGCTGCAGCCATCGGGCTGTTGATGGGCTACAAGAGTTCCTACGAGGAATACTACCGAGAGGAGAAGAAGAGCGAATGATGCAGCTTTCCTACTTTCATTTGTCTGTCACAAGCACACCTCGGCTTGACCGAGATTGAATATTGGGCCTTGTTGTTAATAGCGTGGCTCCGCGCGCAGAAAACAACGCCCACAAGCAGAGGTAATAAATATCCTTTTTTGCAGCAATAATACTATAATATTCGGTACTTCCATCTACATACGGATAGCATGTTCGTGACTCTCTCATGGAAGGCGAGCCATGGTCATCTCTGGGGTCTGTCGACTAGATGACCTCTGAAATCTGCAGATGGACGATGTCGTCGTCTGCATTTTTTTCTTAATTCAAATCTTCAATATTTCACTGTTTCAATTTTAAATTTTATTTCTTCTCATTCAAGTCAATATGACCGTGTCATTGCATCCGCAATCGTGTGACAAAGGGCTGTGGGTCGTCACGCATCTATTTTGAACCACTCCTCTTTGACACCTCAGCTTCAACCCTCCAACCAACTCGCCGGCCGCCAAAACATGGACAATCCAAACGATCCCCCCCTCGACGAGATCCAGTGGCACTCGCCGCAGCTCATCCACCAGATGGGCGGCCTGCACTCCAACACGGTCCTCTTTTACTTTGCCGAGTCGCCCTTTTTCGAGCGCACCTCCAACAATGCCGTCATCATGAACCAGGCCATGAACAACATGTCCATGTACCACTTCATCCAGACCCGCGAGGTGTTTGAGGGCCGCCTCAAGACCATGTCCGGGCTCGAGTTCATCGTCGGCGAGGAGCCCGCCGAGTCGGGGCCCGGCATGGGCACCGGCGTCTGGGTCATCCGCAAGCAGACGAGGCGCAAGCGCTTCCAGGACACGGACGAGATTACAGTCCACGCCTCGTACTTTGTGGTGAATGAAAACATCTACATGGCTCCCACGCTCGCCGATATTCTCGCCGCGCGAATCGTGCGTTGGACTTTTTGCCCCTTGGTTTCCCCCGATCGCGAGAGCTAATTGCAACAACACAGATGTCCATCTCCTCGGCCATCGCTAAAGCCCTCCCGGCCGCCGAATCCGCTCGAACATGGCGCCCATCCGGCGGCCACCGCTACAAGCCACCGCGCGTCCAGACCACCGGTCCCGCGCGCGCGCTCCAAGCCGCCCGCGCACGAATGCAGGAATCAAAGGTGGGCACACCCGCGTCCGGCGTCGTCGCCAGCGGCCGCTCCACGGCCGCCGCGTCGTCCAATGTCGAGGAGCTGTCGCTGGAGCGGTCGGCCGAGGAGGCGTTCTGGGTGCACCTGCGGCACGGCGGCGAGTACCTCGACGAGAACCCCATCACGGGCCGGCCGGGCGAGTTCCACCTGTCGTCGACAGGCCGCAAGCCCGCAATGGCGCCGCGCGCGGCCGGCAGCCACCAGGCACCGACAGGCATCAGCGCCATGACCGGCCCCCCGCGCACCAAGGCCGACGACAAAAAGGATGGCAGCGGCAAAGCGGACAAGACGTCGCGGTCCACGATACCGAAGCCGAAGCGCAAGAAGAGCAAGCTTGGCGGCACACGTACTCCTACGGCCGTGTAAAGATGGCGGGGAGCAGAGCGGACGATGATATAGCATTTGCGGTGTTTTATTAAGTTTTGAAATTGGCTAATGAGAGCAAGGATAGCTTCTCAGCTATGAATGATACCTCCTTCAACTACAACAACACAAGGACAATCTATATGGTATGTCCACCGTCGGCAGATATTATGGCACCTTGGAGGAAGGACGCCTTGGAGCTGGCGGCGAATAGAATCACGTCTGCAATCTCCTGTGGCGTAGACTTGCGCGGGACGGGCATGGCGCGCACCGCCTCGCCATCGTCGGGAATCTCTGCGGTAAACGGTGTGCTACTGTTTCTCAGCAAACACTCGCCTCTCACGAAAAACACTCTACCTACTCTGTGATGCCTGGGGCCACGGCGTTGACGCGAATGTTGGACGGAGAACACTGCGAGTCAACCCGTTAGCTGAAGGGCATGCCATCGGCACCTATACCATTCCTTGCTGACGATGCTTACATCGAGGGCATCCGATTTTGTCATCTGGATGACGGCCGCCTTGGACGCCGCGTATGGCGCTACACGTGGTCAGCATGCTACACGGCCTCGACTGCTCCCCGCTTTTCTTTTCCCTCCTCGATGGGTTCTTACTTTTGCCTGGTATCGGTGAGATGCCGAGACTGCTGGCGACATTGACAATGGCGCCGCGCGAGCCCGGCCGGCCGTCGTGCGACGGCAGCGGCTCCTGCGTCTTCATCTGGCGCGTCTGCTCCCGTGCGCAGAGCCATACGCCGCGCGCGTTGACGGCGAAGACGTCGTCAAAGTCAGACGGCGCCACGTCTGGCGAGGCCGCTCCGGGGCCGTAGATGCCTATAGCGCGCGCGCGTAAGCTTGTACACGCACGCATTGTTTCTCTTTGCTCGTTGCTTCGTACCTGCGCAGTTGACTGCATAGTCGATGCGGCCGAATCGCTGGACCGTGTCCGCGACGGCTTGGACGACGTCCTGCTCGACGCGCACGTCCATGGAGGCGACGAGGACGTGCGCTTCGGGGGCGATGGCTTCAATGGCCTGCTGGGTGCTCAGAAGCCCGGCGTTGGTGGTGTCGGCAATGGTGATTTTGGTGCATCCCTCGGCCGCAAAGGAAATGGCAGTTTGCCTGCCGATGCCTAGGGCGTTGTTAGATAGAATAACATGAGTGAGTGCATCTCCATAAATTCCAGTGTAAGAAGCTTGCCTTGTAAAGCTCCTGTACCATTCTGTGACTCGTTTGAAGAAGAAGAAAAAGAGGAATTAAAAAGCAAACGACGTCCCGGTTACAAAAGTAGAATCAACTCACCGGAACCTGCACCAGTCACAAAGGCCACGCCCGGGTACAATGTCATGATTCTCTGCTGTTGGACGCAACAGAACTTGCAGGAGGGGGGATGTGCACTCGCGGTCGGGTCTCGGCCCGTACACCGGGTCTCGCAATCGCGATTTCAAACGTGGATTTCCGATAAACCTTGGGGGGTCCAAAGATGTTGGAGAAGATGTCGAGGCGCGTAGCAGGAAGCAGAAGAGCAGCAGAAGAGCAGCCCACGAATTTCAACGTTTTTGGTGCAAGAAGGAGAAAGAGAGCAGCTCCCACGATGAATAAAAAACGTCCATGACAGACTAGGTAGAAATAGAAAAAGGCGCGTGCATGATGCAACCTCTCCCCCCCAAAATGCTGCCTCGCCGCCCCGCCTCCTTCCAACCATCTTCTCCCCGCACGGCCATCACTCCTACATACATACATACATACATACATAGTCTAGATATGCAGCCGGAAGCGCGCGCGGCAGGAGGAAGTGGTTAAAGAACGGTCGGACACGGGCATCTAGAGACAAGGCACATGGGGCAATAATTTCCCCTTTCCTTGTTTTACTTGTTTCTGCAACGTTGTGAATTTATACAGCAGTGAGGGGGTAACACGAGTAAAGGCATGGAGGAATAAACTGGCTGGAATTGTTCATGTCTGTACTTTTAATGCTCCCCCAAAATGTACGCCAATATACAAACCCAAAAACGGAAAAAATTCAAAAAGAGCTGTATATGCATCGAATACGACATCTCAGAGACATGATGCTCCTCCACCACCCCTCCACCTTCAGTCCCGACACACACGCACCACACACACCACACCACACACACCACACCACCACACTCATTCAACCACCCATCCCCGGCCGGCAATCTTTCTCTGCTTGACCTTTTTCGCCGGCAGCTGCCAGCCCTGCCCACCCGTATTCTCCGCCCGCAGGTACAGGTTGACCCAGCACTCGCGCGTGGCGCCCGCGTCCACAGCCGCCGACGGTGCGCGCGTCTCCTTGATCGGCTTTCCGTACGTCAGCAGCGACGTGCCCTTGGCGAGGCCGGCCAGCTGCGCGCCCGAGACATCGGTGAGCGCGTGCATCCTCGTCTTGGGCGTCTTGGCCCCTCCGTCGCCGAGCGGTGCCGTCGCGCGCTGCAGATACGAGTAGACAACATACTCGGGGCACTCCTGCACGCCGAGGTGCGCCAGGGGCGACGTGGGGTGAATGTACACGAGACCGCCGTCCTCGCCGCCGCCGGTGGACGCTCCGCGGAGCGGAACGAGCGGCACGTACGGCACGTCGATGGCCCGCCTCGGCTTGCGGTGGTGCGCGGGCGGCACCGGCGCCTTGTCGGCCCGAATCGCGACCTGGTCGATGAAGCCCGCGGCCGCCATCTGCTTCAGCGCCGCCACCTGCTTCGGCGACGGCGGGTCCAGCCTCTCCTTGTGCTGGAGGCTGGCAAACGACGGGATCGTCGTCCGCAGCAGGTCCGTGATTTGCCTGCGCAGCTGCTGCACCTCCCGCAGCACCTTGAAGCGCACAAAGTGGCTCGCGCACCACGCCTCGGTCGGCTCGTGCGCAAACTCGCACACGACCTGCAGCAGCTTCATGGCGTCCGACTTGTCGTCGAGGTAACAAAAGTGGCGGTGCACCTCGTTGAACAGCCGCCGCGCCTGCACCTGCTGCGTTTCGGCCATCACGTCGGCGTTTGTGCGCAGCGTGCTGCCGTCTTCCTGGGCGGCAACGGCGAGCGCGGGCACGGCCTGCGCCTCGGGGAGGAACACTTCGGCAGCCGACAGGCCGGCCACGAGGGCAATGGTGTACGGCAGGCAGTCGTGCAGGTGGCCGACGAGGAGGATTCGTGCAAAGCGGGGCGACAGGGGAAACACGGACATGGTCTGGCCGATCCGTGTAATCTGGCCGCTCGAGGAGATGGCGGACAGGTATTCTAGGAGCTTCTCGGCCGTGGCCAGGCGATGCCGCTCCGGTGGCGTGGGAAAGGGAAAGTTGACGACATTCTGCAGGTTCATAGACTTGAGCTGCAAAACGACACCCTCAATCGGCATGCGCAATATCTCAGGGTCGGCAAACTCCTGAAAGTCGCGCTCATAAACCGCAGACGAGTACAGTCGGTAGCAGTGACCAGGGCCCGTACGGCCTGCGCGACCTGCGCGCTGGTTCGCGCTGGCTTTGCTGATCCAACCAATGTCGTAGCTTTGCACGCCGCTTTGGCGGTCGTAGTTCCGATCCTTTACGCGGCCGCAGTCAAACACAAAGCGAGTGCCCGGGATGGTCAAGGAGGTTTCAGCGACGTTGGTGGCCAGGATAATCTGTCGCGTGCCCTCGGGTGCGGGCTCAAAGACCCTCATCTGCTCGCGCGTAGGAAGCAGCGAATAGAGGGGCAGAATCTGTACTTTTAGAGGAGCGGCTTCCTGCTCTTCCTCAATTTCAAACTCGTCTTCCTCTTCCTCACCGTCTGAAATTATCTCGTCCAGGTCGTCGTGCGTATTGTCGTCCACGTCGCCAAAGTCGAGATCCTCCACCTCCATCGGTGCTTCGGAAGCGGATATCCGTACTTGAGGGCCTTCGGCAGATCTCAGCCCACCAAACGCGGCTTTTAAGCGTTTGCTAAGTTGTAGAATTTCATTGCGACCAGTCAGAAATACGAGGAATCCACCAGGCGGAAGCTTCCTGTGTCCACGGCTGATTTTGTTGAACGCTTCTTCGACGTAGTCGTGGTGTGTCTTGCGGGCAAAATGCATCGTGACTGGGTGCTGTCTGCCCTCCACCTCGACCACTGGCGGGGGTGTGGGGAACAAGTTGGGGTTCATGGTGAGATCTTCGATGCGAAGAGTAGCAGACATGATGATGAGCTTCAGCGGCTTGACCTTGGCATCTTCCTCTGCCAGCTCGGCCCGGAGCTTGATGACTCTGCTCAGCATGCCAATCAAAATGTCCGTGTTTACACTTCTTTCGTGGGCTTCATCAATGATGATGGCGGAGTATTTCTTGAGAGTAATATCTTGGGCGATTTCGCGGAGCAGAATACCATCCGTCATGAATTTGACAGCAGTCTTGTCGTCAACGCTTCCCTCGAATCGAATCTGATAGGCAACAGCCGAAGAGTGGTCACCGAGTTCCTCGGCTACACGCTTAGACATACTGACAGCGGCAACTCGACGTGGCTGCGTGACGCCAATCATGCCCGGTGTCTCCGAGTCCGCAGCTCCATAGCCGGCTTCGTACAGAAATTGCGGTACTTGCGTCGTCTTGCCGGAACCCGTGGCGCCACATATGACGACAATGTTGTTATTGTGGATAGCTTCCATCAGCTTCTGTTCCTCGGCAACAACTGGCAGTTTCAAACGCGCTTCCTGAATCTCCGGTGTTCTTGTGACAGTGACACTGAACGCTTTTCTGTCTGTATTTTCAGTCGGTTGCAGCTCCACAGGTAGCGGTTCTTGCTCTGGGGCCCGAGGAACGAAGTTATCCGGCCTCGGAATCACCATGTTGCTTGTCGTTGGCTCATTTGGCTTGAAGCCTAGAGCTTCGTTGCGTTGTTGTGTAGCCCAGGCTTTGAACATTGAAGATCTTTGTGATCTTTGAGCTGCTGCATCCTCATCTTCATCTTCGCCGTCTTCGTCATCACTATCATCTTCTTCGTCTTCCTTGTCGTCTTCCTTGTCGTCTTCCTCGTCTTCCTTGTCGTCTTCCTCGTCTTCCTCGGCTTCGGATCCCTCATTGTCATCACTGACGCCATTCCATTCGTCTTCGTCTTCGTCGCTTCCATTCTCACTCTCTACAAAGGCAAGCTCGACAGGAGCCCTAACTTTGGACTTGACGCCGCCTCGTTTTTGTCGCTTTTGGATTAAAGGTCTGCCCTCCTCATCAACCTCGAGTGGTCGTTTCAATCCTGACCCCACTGCGTCGGAGAGTTGTGCGGTCACAATTGTAGATTCTGCAGGCTTGGTCTCGGGCTTCGAGGTCGCGACGGGCGTAGGCTTTGCCGCAAGGGTGGGTTTGTCGTTATACTCGTCGCTATCGTCCTCCGCCACCTCGCGTCTCTCCTCCAAGAGCGCCTCTCCATCCTCAATTCCGGCCCTGGCCTCTCTCAGCGCTCTTGACAGACTCTGTTTTTTTGTCTCGCGGCCTTGACCCAGCGATTTACTGCTCGAAAATAAACTCGTGTCGATCTTTCTTGACGCCAATTTCGACAACAGCTCTCGATTCTCGTCTTTTCGCAGCTTTGTGTCAATATACTTTTCGAGGCGCTTGGCCTTCTTAGAGTTCATCTTCCCAGCCTCCTGCTTCAGCTCCTCCTTCATGCGCGCGCGCTTGTCCGCCCATTCCTGCTTGTCGGCCGAGTCGATGATTTCTTTATTGGGGTCTGCGACGTCGTGGCGGCCATTTTCCTTGGCTCTCTCACGGGCAAGCACCCTGTGCTTGCGCTGTCGAGCAACGAATTTTGCCATTTCCGCAGGAATTGACAGAGATTTTATCCCACTATGACTTGCACAAAATTGTCCTGAGCTGGACCAGTCTTCAGAGAATTGGCGACTGGCACTACCAAGAAATTTTGGTGGAGCTCTGTTTTGCCGCTGGTGACCGCAAAAACCTGCAACCCAAACAAGACTAGTGCGGGGCGGTGAGCTGGGGGCAGGAGCTCAAGATGAGAGATGAGCATTACCCGGGAACTTGAAGAAGATTCGCAAATTACAGCAAGATGGCGGCACCGGGTGTTAAAGAGGATCCTTATCCGGCGAAGAGCCAAACCACGAGTGGGGTCGTAGGCGGCATTGCTACCGAGGTTTCTTCGACAAGTTACTCTGACAGAATTCTGGTCACAATTAGCCAAGAGGGGAGGTTGTCGCAATGGGTACGCAGCTTATGAACATTGGGAATCCACCAACTCATCGCGAATATAGGTCCAAGTTCCTCTAGCATCATCGGCGGCCGGTATTTCCGACATGGCCATGCCAAGTAATGGCCACCTTCCAGCTGCGCATCTTACACCAAGGACACTACTAGGCGGAGGAGGGGAAGAACGCGAGACAAACGGACAGCTCTACGCGGCGCAGATTGCAAATCACTTATTACTACGGTACCCAAATGAAAGCCGACTTTTGGTTGTTGGATTTGGACTGGCAGAGATTTCCAAGGAAAGAGAAGCATTTTTCGACCTGTTTGAATTAGTTCAAACGGTCTTGTAGCTGTCCTTGCGCGACCTTGGATGCCACCTTAATGGGTCTCGAAGTGGCTCCTAAAGTTGTCAGAAACGTCACAGGAGAAACGTCACAGGAAGGACAAGTCTATTCAAGCATCTTGTGAATTTGCAGGCAAAGGAGCTGGGCCTGACATGAGCCTTTGCCCGTGGCTCCAAGCTTTTACCGGTATATAGTGTAATACACTGCAAGTTAGTGGGGTTTGAAATATCTGTACGGCTGAACGATCGGAGACGGCCGGCTGTGAATTAATCTCATATTTTATCTCTGCACGAGACTGCGTGCATATAGAGAGCTGCTAGCCAGACTATCCATGTGACTGAGTCTAACTCTGTACTTTTCAATTAACGCCAACCCACACCAAGAACTAAGTACCACACCAGTGAGAGTCACATCCTCTCGTCACTATTTAATGCTAGTAAGGCCACAACTCCTTTTGAATATCTCTTTCCGCCACGATAGTGACTATAAAGAACAAGGAATCTCCACCGCTAGCTTTATTAATATATGTTTTATTTAATAAGACTTTTTTTAAGGCGAACTACAGGCTACCGCGAGGCGAGCGTGTTCTTCCGGCGTTGCGGTGTTGCTGCGGCATCACGGCGTTTCGGCGTTTCGGCGTCACGGCGTTGTTCATTAACAAGATACGGTACAACGGAACTAAAAACGGTCGGGACCCAACAGTAATTCCAGCAGGCAGCTTCCCCGCATCCTCGGATCAGTCGCTGGCGTATAGGATTTGTGTTCCGAAATTATCATAGGTCGGGGGTGGCGACTTCCCCGCATCCTCGGATCAGTCGCCGGCTTATAGGATTTGTGTTCCGCAATTATCATATATGTATGTGTTCGGCAATTACCTTCGGCAGGGGGCCGGCTTCCCCGGATCAGTCGCGTACAAGGGACTCGGTCTTTCTAATATTAATACTCGTTGCCAATCCAGCCGAATAGTAAAAACGGGTGGTACAAATCCATCGCATGAAACCGGGTTAGCAACTCATATAACAGCCATGCTACTGCTCTACGTTGTCGTCGGAACTGCTCTTGTCGGCGCCATCGCCACTACCATTCTACGGGCCGTGGTATCACCGCTGCGCTCCATTCCGGGGCCATTTCTTACCCGATTCACCCGTCTTTGGTACGTTGCTCGCGTAGCCAAGGGCCATTTTGAAGCCGAGAATATCGCCCTACACAAGCGGTATGGACCTATTGTCCGCATCGCACCAGACATGTACAGCATTAACATGCCCGAGGCTGTCGGCACCGTGTACGGCATCAGCTCTAAGATGCCCAAGTCGGCGTGGTACGACGCATGGCATCACCCAACCAACGACAAGGCGACTCTCTTCCCAGACAGGGAGGTGAAGCGGCATGCGGAGACGAGGAGGCGCTTCCAGGCGCTGTACAGCATGACGAGCCTCCTGAGCTATGAAGGATACGCCGACTCGTGTGCGGAAATTTTCGTCCAGCGGCTGGATGAGTTTGCCAAAGAGGGCGAGGTGTTTGATCTGGCGCACTGGTTCCAATGCTACGCCTTCGACGTCATTGGTGACATTACCTACTCGAAGCGCTTTGGGTTTCTGGACCGCGGCGAAGACGTCGCGGGCCTGCTCAAAGCGCAGCAGCGTATCATCGTCTATGGAGCGCTGGTTGGCATCATACCGGAACTGCACCCAATATTGTACAGAATCACGTCGTGGCTGGGCCTCGGCGGCGGTGCTGGTCGAGACTATCTGATCGAGTTTGTCCGGGATCGTGTTAGCGAGCGCCGGGCCGAGAGGGCCGCGGAAGCCGCCATGGACAAGAAGGCAACATTGCTGGACGCGACATCGGACGAACAGGCACCACAAAGCTTCCTCGACAAGTTGCTGGCCCAGAATGAGCTGGATCCCGCCAAGGTCACCGACGACCACATTTACGGCATGTCGCTCGCTAACGTCGTGGCCGGTTCCGACACGACCGCGGTCACGCTATCTTCCATCTTCTACCACCTGATGCGCACGCCGACTGCGGTCGCAAGGCTGCGGGAGGAGATTGCCGAGGGCGAAAAGGAGGGCACGATTGACCACCTTGGACGTGTTCGGTTTCAAGACGCCAAAAACATGCGGTACCTGCAGGCGGTGATTACGGAGGCTTTGCGCTTGCACTCGGCCACGGGCCTCCCGCTGTGGAGAGACGTGCCCGAGGGCGGTGCGGTGCTGGGCGGGCGGTACTTTCCTGGCGGCACTACGGTAGGATTGAATACCTGGTGTGCGCATTACAACGAGAGTGTTTATGGGCCAGATGCGCGCGAGTTTCGGCCGGAGCGGTGGCTTGTGGAGGAGGACAAGGTCAAGAAGATGAACGCCTACTACCTTCCAGTGAGATCTTCCTTTATTTTCATGTGAAATACTTTGAGAGTACTGTACTAACATTTTCTTCTTCTTTTTTCTCAGTTCGGGCTGGGCTCGAGGACTTGCATCGGACGGCACATCTCCATCTTGGAAATCGCAAAGCTGGTACCGTTGCTTGTCAAGAGCTATGACTTTGAGGCAGTTAATGGGGCCAAGGAGTGGGAGACGAACAACGTTTGGTTTGTGAAGCCGGTTGACTTCCATGTCAGAGTCAAACGCAGATTGTGAGTGTTGACGTGGCCAAGGATATGCTTGGTACGGCGCGGGCCGAGAATGACTACTTAGGAAGCGGGAATTTAGCAAACAATTTGTCGAGATCTTCATTTGAATTCGGTACTAAATCCATGTATCTTTGATAGGCTGCTATTTTTATTACATGTGAAAGTTAATTTAGCATCTTGCACTGGACTGGGTCGTTGGCAAAGTCTAACGCGGGGTAATAAGAATTGGCTCGAGAGCCCTATCGTGATTTGAAAAAAAAAAGAACCCCCCCCCAGGTACGGTAATGAATTAGCCTACCATTTTATCATCTTATCAGGCAGACAGAGGGGCTGCTGAAAAGGGCGCCGAGGGCGCCGAGGGCAAAGATGAGATGGCCCAAGACCTCAGCTATCAATCGCCCACCTTGCCCTAGCCACCTTCTATTGAGCTTTGAGGAATAACATTCACGTGAAACATCTTAGCTGGACTGATGAAATGGAAAGGCAGGCTCTGGAATGATGCGGCAACTACCAAGGTGACAAGTGGGGGTGGCATATGCCAAAAAACGTGGTACGGCCAGAGGCAGTTACTGTATCGGCCCAACGGGTTATCATCGAGATTGCTTGGTTCCTGGACTACCTAATAATTGATAGTTTATCCCTCATCCCCTCATCCGGTTTTTTTCTTTCCATCTTGCCTCTGTACCATATCTATCCGGTACCATCAGCTCCCTACAACCTGCTCGCCACGTCTCGAAACTATAACCCTCTCTCTCCGCCAACAAACGCCACGCTTCCCATCTAAATAGATCGACGCCATCCATCGCGGCCGGCCCAGCCTCATTTTACCCCGCCAAACCCCTCCATCGTCAAGCTCCAGCAACAACCATTGTCATCGCACACGCCCAATCCGCCAAAATGCCCGAAGCATGTTCCCTCCTCCCCCCCTCCTTGCACAGCCCGCTCCATACTAACCCCCAATGTGCGCTCCCAGATCAACACCCTCCTCTTCGACTGCGACAACACGCTCGTCCTCTCCGAGGAGCTCGCCTTTGAGGCCTGCGCCGACCTCATCAACCAGATCACCGAGGAGCGCGGCGTCGACCTGCGCTTCACCGGCGAGACGCTCATCAAGGAGTTTGTCGGCCAAAACTTCCGCGGCATGCTCACGTCCCTGCAGGAGCGCCACGGCATCCAAATCTCCCCGGCCGACATGGAAAAGTACGTCACCAAGGAGGAAGACGCCGTCATCGCCAAGCTGCGCGCCGCGCTGCGGCCCTGCCCCGGCGTCGACGCCCAGCTCGCCCAGCTCGCCGCCTCGCACAAGTACCTCATGGCTGTCGTCTCCTCGTCGGCGCTGCGCCGCGTCCAGGCCTCGATCGAAAAGGTCGGCCAGGACAAGTACTTCCCCGGGAATGTCGTCTTCTCCGCCGCCACATCCCTCGAAAAGCCCACCAGCAAGCCCGACCCGGCCGTGTACTTGCACGCGCTCAAGGTGCTCGGCCGCACCGCGGCGCAGAGCGTCGCAATCGAGGACAGCAAGAGCGGCACGCTCAGCGGGACTCGCGCGGGCATCAAGGTCATCGGCTATGTCGGCCCATACGATGACGCCCATAAGCCCGAGATGGAAAAGACGCTGACCGAGGCCGGGGCCGTTGTCATCATGCGCGACTGGTCCGAGTTCCCTGCCGCCCTGGAAAAGATTGCCAGTGGCGCCGTCTAGAAGTCCGCAGGACAGATGGAGCATATTTATAAATACAAGCAGGCATTATCAGAAATATTAATTTGGAGACTTCTTGGGTGCATGTGCTGCTTTTTCACGTCCCGCATTCCTTTCTGCTTATAGGTGACATTCTTGATGTACATGGGCAAGCACCTAATTCCTCCAGTCCATCAAGAAGCTATTAACGCTCTGCAGTGTAGCGCGACTCGGATTCGCTGCCGGAAAAGTCATCATGAACCCGCCCAGCCGGCTCTTCACAGCCGTCTTTGTAAAACCCACCTGTGCGCCCTCCTCGCGCAACGCACCTGCGTCATCAAGCAGCAAGCACGAAAGCGCCAGCGCAGTGCCGACAGAAAAGTCCTTTCCCGAGTCGCACGAGACCACGATCTTCTTCTCGCAACCTGCGGGCGCACCATCCATGTATCCACGCGCAAACGCACAAATGTCAGGTAGAGCGAGGCGCAAGCTGCGGCTGCCGGCTTTGCTGTGGCCGAGCCCGACTTGCATGAAACGCGGCCCCTTGACCCACGACTCTTTCGGCGATGTCGATGCGAGCAGTTGTATATGGCACTCTCCCTCGGCATCGGGAGCCATCGTAGACGCAGTCGGACACACGTAGATGCCCGGCGCGAGCCGCACACGCGCCTCGCTGCCCACCGGTACCTGCGCGGCGCGATCCTCCTCCACCAGCCGCCTGATGAGCGCCGGCAGCGCACTCTCGGCCGCGTCCAGTAGCACGTGCACGTTATTCCAGAAGACGGGCGGCGTGAGCCCGTGCGCCCAGTTCTCCGTGTCGTCGCCCGCGCCCTGTATGTAGCCGCCCTCGTCCATCTCGCTCCCCGCGACGCGGCGACTCGCCGTGCAGCAAATCACAGGCCGGTAGTCGTCAAAGACCACGCGCTGCGGCGAAGGCTGCCCTGCACCCCCGGGCGGCGGCAGCGCAGAGTCCTGCGTGATCCAGAGCGGGCGGAGCGGCTTGCTGAGCACCCCGCGCGGCAGCGGCAGCGCGAGCGCCTCCAGGGACGCGGCGAAGACCGGCAGCAGCGCCGCGACTTGCGCGTGCGTCGTGGGCGGCAGCGACGGCGGCAGGAACAGCGCCTGCGAGAGCGGGTGGTCCGGCAGGAGCACGCGGTTGAGCACGGCGCACCACACGGGAATGGTGGTGGACAGCGCGTCGGGCATGCGCTTGCCGCGCCGCGTGGAATCGACAATAATGACCCTGTTTTTTTGTTCCGTGTGAGACCTCAAATTTTGCTCCCAGCTGAGGCATCACGTCAAAATGGCAACGTACCCGTCATGCTTCTCGGCAAGCTCAACAATGTGCAGGTTCAGACGTCGGGTGCTAAACTTCCACGCCCGCTCGTGGCCGTCGGTGCTCTTGAAGTAGGCGCTGCCGCCCTTGGTCTCGGGCGGCACGTACCAGCTACCGCAGCGTTCGTTGGCGACAAGAGGCCGCCGACGGCCGGACCTGTTCGTCTCCTCCGCGGTCCCCTGCCCGGGGGTGTAGTCTCCCGGCGCGCCGCCGCCAAAGGCGCTGGCCGCTCGCGCGACGAATTCCGCGTCCGTCGCGATGGAGCGCAGGCGGTTGTGGATGGTGAGCGTCGTGCGCTTCAGCCCGGACATGAGCGCCGACATGGACATTTGCTGGTCGCTGGAAAAGAGAATGCTGGAGTGATGGATGCCGGCCGTGCGTACGCTGGACACCGCGTCCGGCTCCGCGTCCGGCGATGCCATGTCCATGGCGAGGCCAGGCTGGAATGGAGCAGCAGGACGTTTTGCACCCGTCGGTGTTGTTTATGAAGAGTATTATTAAGGCACACAGTTCAAAAAGAGTTTCACCGATAACTACAGAGGAGTCATACGCTAGAAAAGTAGGTCTAAAAATAATAGAAAAATAATACAATAGGTTTAAAAGAAACTTAATACTTTACTTACCTATATTCTTTAGTTTTATTATTATATAGATATAAATAGTAAAATTAGATTTAATACCTTTCTTTATAATAACTAAAAGTATTACTTATATAATATAGTTTATTAATATATACTTTTAATATTTCTATTTTAACTTATTATATAATTATTAGATTTATATTTTTTTATAAGTTTATTTTAATAACTTTTTTCTTTATAGGTTTTATTATTATTATTTTTAAATAATATTATAATTATAAAATAATCCTAAGAAAATAACTTAGAATTCCTAGGCTATATACCTTTATACTTTATATATAACTTCTTATCTTAATAAGAATTTAAAATTATAACTAAAAAGAAGAAAAATAAACTAATTAAATAGAAAAAGCTTAATATACTAGTAGTAAAGCTTTATAAGGGTTTTCCTAGGGAGTTTATAATATATATTAGCTATACTTAGTTATTAGGATTTAAGGATAGACCTGATTATACTTACCTATACTGATTATTCCGCTACGCCTTCTTAACTCGTGGATTAAAGTATGATAACATATTCGATTAGACGGAGAAGCTATTTATTGGGATGCAATGCGATAGTACTGGATGATGTGCGCGCCTGCCGAACGGAGCCAGTAGCGTTGATTTAAAGAGACCAAAAAGGTCCTCATGTGTAACTATCCATAGATAAAATTTTCAAGCTCTTTGTACGCCGTAGCAAGATCCTCGTTCACAATGATTTTGTCGTAAAGTCCTAGAGTTTCTGCTTGCTGTAATTCGGCTTTGGCCTGTTGCATTCTTTTCTGTATACTCATTTCAGTTTCCGTGCTTCGTCCCTGAAGTCGCGACGCAAGCTCTTCAAAGCTTGGCGGCTTGATGAAAATGTACCGAGCGTTGATGATGGATCTCTGTCGCATTTGTTTAACTCCCTCAATATCAATCTCCAGCAGAACAACCAAGCCTTTCTCCGTTTGGTGCGTAATTGTCGATTTGCTAGTGCCATAGTAGTTGCCACTGAACTGCGTATATTCAACGAAGACATTTTGGAGAATGAGGGACTTGAATTCGGATTCCGTTATGTAGAAGTAGGTGCTTCCCTCCATTTCACCAGCTCGAGGCTGACGTGTGGTGTGTGAAACTGTTTTGGTGAAAACACCTGGATGTGCATCCTGGAGCATCTGGATGAGAGTTCCCTTCCCGACCCCTGAGGGTCCAGATACGACAATCGGCCGAACGTCTTTCACCTCTGCAGAAATCCATGTTAGCACCGCTCGCTTAATCGCCAGGGTAGATGGGTCTCTACTGGAAGCCATCACTAGCGTTGTATAGCTACCGCACACTAGATGCAATGTTATTGAATGAATTGGAATCGTGTACAGTCCTAAGTTTCTAATTGTAACTAGCACTCCTTTCCTTGACGGGTGCTTATATAACTCTAGAAAAATTGCTGCCTTAGGCGGCACGGATCTTGGTAGTATTTATAAGGAATATAAAGTACCTACCTACTAAGAATACTAAACGCTATTAAATCCTACTAGGAATTATTATATAATAGTAGAATAACGTATAGAAAGGATAGTTTTTACCTAGGTAGCCTAGTATAATAATAGCTTAATCCTAATCTATAGTTATCTATTTCTTAGTGTTAAGGGCTGGGCTACGGAGCCCGCCCTGGTCCTTCCAGAGTGGCTGGCGCGGAGCCCCTAAAGGGGGCCCCTTATAGGTGCAACCAGACAACAATCGTGCCAGTATTGTTGTTACGAATCCTTTTAGCCTCGTGGTCAAGAGGGTTGTGCGCCGTAAGGCCACTGACGGCTGCGGGGCTGGTTGCCCCCGAAGCCCCTCTGGGGCCAGTCCGTCACACTTAGGTAGTAAGTTAGGTTAAATAGCTATATAGTAGCCTAGAATAGTTATTATAAAAAAGGTCTTATTAAAGCTAAGTTTAGCTTAAAATAGGCTTAAACCTAACTTCCTTATAATCTTAAGTACTAAAAAGAGTAAATAAATAACTTCTAAGTTTTTTTATTATAAAACTATTCTTTTTAACCTTAGTATTTTTAATAATAATAGTATTTTATTAATAAAATAATAAAATTATATAAAACTTCTATATAAGAAAAAAACCTTATCTAATTATATTTTATAAAAGTAGTAAATAAATTAGCTTTAATAGGGTAGTAGAATTAAGGTAGATTTAGGTTAATATAGAGTAGAATAGTATACTACTAATTCCTTTACTATATAGGCTAATAAAAAGTACTAGGTAACCTAGAACACTTATTAGAATAAAAACGCAGCATCTAGGCATTATTGCCTGTTAGCGACTAGGAACCTGCGATTGTTTAATATTTCCAACAGCTTCGCCAAGCACCCAGCCAAGGAGGGTATAGAAGCGTTGCAGGCTTTCGTCAGTGCCGCGTATGCCTTCCTCGTTGAAGTCGAGAATCTCTGAGCAGCGTATGTCGAACTGATAGTTCTGAAAGTCGATACAGCCCTGAACGATGCGGACCTGGCGTCCGGAGCAAGAAAATACGAGGATCTTGAGAGAGATTAGTGAGATTGCTCGGGCAGAGGCTTGGGGCACATACTGGAATTACCATGGCGTGGCGATAAGTGCGGTCGCAGGCCTGCCGCAGTGCCAACACCATAATGGCGGTGAGCTCACCGTTGGATAGGGACCCGTCATCCTGGAGGATCTCGTCGTCGTGGATAAAACAGCTCAAATGCGGGAGCGTAGGGCTTCGTGGCACATCAAGATAAATATACTTTAGGGCAGTAGGGGGATTACACTGTTCGGTAATCCTCCTGACGCTCCAGTAGGTAGTGAACATCCGAGTTGGTTGTCGAAAGGCGGTTCGTATTAGGTCTTGACGCGCTGTTAGCTTTGGTCTAGATACGGCTATAATAAAGCAAGGGTGCGGGCTTACGAGCAATAGCGCCAATATGTCTTGTTATGCATCATATTGCCCTTTTCATAGGGATGGCCCCTCTCCGTGTAATTTTCGACCATGCTTAATGTGCCCATCGACTCGGGCGCGCCGAGGCGACGGTCTTCAAGCGGATCGAAGATGCCAAACAAGTCATAGTCATCTGGGTTTTCGCTCGGGCAGGCCAACGGACAAGAGTAGTCAATCCAGCTGCTGATCTGTTTAGGAGGGATAGGTCGGATAAAGGCCTCACCGTAGCAGCCGCCCTGCCCGGTCCTAAGATCAAGTTTCTGAACGACAATGTCCCAGTCGCTGCGCAGCTGCTCGGGGGTGACACGGTGGGCCGAGGACTTGGAGAGGATCGATGAGACGCACGAGCACGTCTAGCATGCACTTGTGAAGTCTGTCATTTTCCTGGACCCCTTGCGGGGATTTGGGCTGGGGCGGCGAGCGGTGGCCAACTGTGTTGATAGTGTACTTTTGGCGGTAGAGGTGGTAGCAGTAGCAGCGAGGGCGGCGACTCTGTTATTGACGAATCGTACTTGTTTTGGGGGGCAGGATGAGGGTATATGATGGAAGGGGGCAAACAAGGTTGTCACTGTGTTTTTGGGTGGGTTGACTTGGCGACTGGCCTGCGCGCGCCACAGGCGCCAGCATACCAAGCCTTATTATAGGCGCAACCAGACAACGACCTGCCAGTCTTGTTATAACGAATCCTTTTGCCTGCCTCCGTGGCTTAGTGGGTTATGGCTTGCGCCATTGACGGCAGCAGTGCTGGTTGCCGCCCTCTGGGCCAGTTCCGTTACAATCAGGGTGTGGAATCTAAGCAGTTTAGGTTACCTTGTACGTTTCGCTTTTTGCTCTTGGGTGGAATATCTTGCCCATCTTCATAATAAATATTTGACAACGCGTGACTTCCATTCGTCACCACCAACTTCACCCAACGCCCTCGTAGCTTACACCAGCTTCCAGACGCCATTCTCAACAACAATGCCAATCTCTCGGCCCTCGTCAATGCTCCTACGGCCCGCATGCAGAATCGCCGTGGTGGCAATCGTGTTGCGCAGCGTCGGCAGGCCCTTGGCGTCGAGGTCGGCAGGCTTCAAGCGGCCCTCGTTGACGGCGCGGCAGCCGTCGACAAACTTTTCAATCGAAATGTAGCCGTAGCCCGTCTGGCCGTTGAAGTTGCCGTCCTCGTCGGGGGCGTAGCGCATGTAAAAGGGGTTGAACCACTGTAGCTGGCCGGCCTTGTCGTCGGCTACGTCGTAGCCGCGGTGGGCCTGGTCGACGCGGATCTCGCCGTCGGCGGCCAGGTAGTGGAAGTACTGGTTGGTGTGGACGCCGGCGCGTTCGGGGGCCGTCCACGAGGACGTGTAGACGCCGACGGCGCGCTTGCTCGGGTCGGCCTTGTTCGCCCAGGTGACGAGCACCGAGATGGTGTCCTCGGTCTCGTCGACGCAGCCGCGGGCGACGGCGACGCCCTTGGACGACGACGCCGACACCTTGACGGGCACGTAGCGGTCCTGCACCATGGAGTCGCAGATGTCGACGTGGTGGCTGTTGAGGTAGTAGGAAATGTCCGACTCGCGGCCGGCCCACGACTTGAACGTGTCGAGCTGGTACTTGGGCTGCGACATGTACGAGTACCAGTAGTTGAAGTCACCAAGCGTCTGGGCCTTGAAGCGGGCGTCCGAGTAGGCCGGGTCGAAACGCTTGTGGTGCTCGATGAAGACGTAGACGCCCTTGGCCTCGGCCCGCTGGATCAGCTCCTGGTGGTGCTCGAGCAGCTTGACAGCGGGCTTGGTGATGAGGACGTGGATGCCGCGGTCAATGGCGTACAGGGCGATGGGAAAGTGCGTCGGGTCCGGGGTGAAGATGGTGATGGCGTCGCCGGGCTTGAGGCCGTCGATGGCGGCCTTGTAGGCGTCAGGCTCCTTTTGGTCGTTGGCGGGGAAGGAGTCGAATGAGGTGTCGAGACCGTTGTAGACTTGGGTGATATTCTTGTCCAGGTGCTCGCCTGGGAGGGTTAGAAGGGGTCTGCGTATCGGGAGCTCGGGGCGACTCACGAATGGCAGGGAACTTGGTGCCATTGACACCAACCATGCCGAGCTGGTTGACCTTGCCGCGGCGCCGCAGATCAAAAAGGGTGAGGCCGACGACGCCGACCTTCTTGTCCGAGGCGGAGCCACCGGTGCCGACAAAGCCGGTGGTATACTCGCCGGTACCAATCATCAACACATTGATGGGAGCTGGCATCGTGCCGGGATGCTGCGTGGGAAATATTTATAAGGTTGGGGGTATCTTAGGAAATGTGGCAAAAGATTGGGCGTAGGGCTCAGCACGAAATATGAAAAGATAAAGAAGAAGGTCACAGGGAAGGAAGATGCTTGAGGGAGCGAGGTTCTCCTTGCGACTGAGAGCAGGTGATTTTGAGAAAACGCAGGATGGCTGAGCTCCAAACGGCTGCTTGAAGTGAAGCTCTGGCGGCGGCGGCTGGCAATTGGAGGGATAATATGCTCCGGCCCACGGTGAGGAGAGGCGTTGAAGGTGCGATGATCGGACGCCGTTAAATACGGTATATATCGGCGAAAATTACTGGTTTGGGATAGTGCGTCCTATAAAGAGGTGATGACAGGCGCAGAATATGTTTTGTTGTCAAGCTACACCCTAAAATTTGCAAAGGCGTCGGGAGTTGTATTACCATTCATTACCCCTCCCCCGCCAACAACCCCGCACCGCCCAAGTATCCCAGCAACACTGAAGCTTGACTAACATGCGCGAGGTGCAGATTTTCTCTCCCTCAATAATAGAATTGGTCGCAAGAAGAAATTGCCTCCTTCTGATAGCTACTTCACATCCAGCGTCACTCACCACGATGCCATGAGGTTAAGCCGTGACAGAAAACGTAACAAAGAGGCTGCTCGTTCCCAGATTACCTCTTCTCATTGCCACGCCACTTCTCAAATCTCTTTTTTTTTCAGTTGTTAGGTTCCGACGGCTCAAGGCTATTTTGCACAGACGGGTCTCGTCGCTTCCCACTGGTGGAAGAACCTCCCGAACACAATTGAAGGAAAACAGTTGATCATCACCGTTGCGTAGGCCGATGGGTAGAAATATTTAAACGAGATAAATTGATGAAGATATAAAAGTAGGCTCAGAAATAACAGGCCAATTCCGGGGCTTTCGTTCCCCGTGCAGCACCGATCATCGTACCTCAACATCAATCTGCCAACGGGTCTTGCCAACTCGAATCACCGGGATCGGGGCCGGCCCCACCCCGCCGAAGCCCCCAGACCTGGTCAGTGATATATCCAGGACCAAACCCAGTACAAGAAGCTCATGTTCATTTCTTGTCCCTTACATTCTTTCGTCTTTTAGTTTCCACATCAATCCCCCCTGCTTAGTATTCCACCCCTTACATCATGGCCGCTCCTCGCCGTCCGCTACCGTGCGGCATCTACGCCCCGACCATGACCTTTTTCGACGCCGAGACCGAGGACCTCGACATCCCCACCATTAAAAAGCACGCACAGCGCCTCATCCGCGACGGTCTCGTCGGTCTCGTCGTCATGGGCTCCAACGGCGAGGCCGTCCACTGCACGCGCGAGGAAAAGCTCGCCGTCACCCAAGCTACGCGCGCAGCCCTCGACGAGGCCGGCTTCGCCTCCACGCCCATCATCCTGGGCGCCACCGAGGGCTCCGTGCGCGGCACCCTTGAGCTGTGCACGCTGGCCGCCGCGCACGGCGCCGACTATGCCCTGCTCCTGCCGCCGTCGTACTACCGCGCGCAGACGGACGAGGGCGTCATCCTCGACTACTTTACCGCCGTCGCCGACGCCTCGCCGCTGCCCGTCATCCTGTACAACTACCCCGGCGCCGTCTCCGGCATCGACATGGACAGCGACCTGCTCGTCCGGCTGGCGGCGCACCCCAACATTGTCGGCACCAAGTTCACCTGCGGCAACACGGGCAAGCTGACGCGCGTGGCGCTGGCCACGCGCGCCAAGACTCCGTCGGCCAAAGGTTCCGGGTACATGGCGTTTGGCGGCATGTGCGACTTCACCACGCAGACCCTGCAGAGCGGCGGCAGCGGCATCATTGCGGGCGGCGCCAACGTCATGCCCAAGGTCTGCGCCCGCGTGTGGAACCTGTACGCCGAGGGCCGGCGCGACGAGGCTGAGGCGCTGCAAAAGATTCTCAGCAAGGGCGATTGGCCGCTCACCAAGGCGGCCATTGCTGGAACCAAGCAGGCCATTCAGACCTATTTTGGTTACGGCGGGTATCCTAGACGGCCGCTGAAGCGTCTCGATCAGGCGTCCATCAAGGCAATTGAAGAAGGCACACGCGAAGTGATGGAGGTGGAAAAGAGCCTGTAACTAACATCGAGTTTTCTTAGCCAGTGCACCTTTGTCCTTCCATTATTAACGATATATATATACACAAATTCCGTAGCCTAAAGAAAATGCAAGCCTGCTTATAGACACTTCTCGCCTACTAGTAGTCCCTCTGAGGTGTACGCTACCGGTCATGCCATTGCTTAGAACAGGCCACCCGGCTGATGTACTCTGAATAACCTACATTTTCTTATTTAGATAATATCGAAGTACGTGGCTGGATGTATTGTGTGATTCTTTCCTTCTGCATGAGAACCATCACTTGGAGGTAGTGGAAACTAATGATGAAAACACTCGTGGAGTACGACTGGAATTTGCTTTGAAGAAACTATTATAAGTCTTTCTATAATCGTGTGTCTATTTCGGTCCTATATGCAAGGCGCAATAATGATTGAAGTGTCTAAAGTCCGTTTTCGAGGCTTCTAAGGTCCCATTTTCGTCGCCTTTGCCTTTTCCATGTCCATCCTCCACTTCCCAGCATAACGATACTGTACGACAGGTCCAATCAGCGCCACCAGCTGCACAGCTACGCAAATTGTAAATGTCCACCCCACGCCGATGTTGTAGATCATGGGCATAACGAAGCTCGTACCACCCGCCGCAAACAGGCACCGCGCCAGGTTGAAACTAGCAGTCGCCGCGGCGCTGCGGTCAGGGAAGATGTCGACGAGATAGGTGGTGATGACCGCCTGGGTAGAGATGGCCGTCCAGCCGGTGATGAAGGTAGACATGATGGGCATGGCAATGGGCACGCTCCGCGGGTATTGGATGGTCCAGCCAAAGAGCAGGAGGGACAAGCACTGCAAGAGGGAGAAGACGGGGATGAGTCGCAGACGTGCCTTTTCAATGGGGAAGCTGGCCTCGCCGCCGTCGCCATTGCACGCTGCAGAGTCCCCGGTGACGGCGAGCTTGGCCTTGACGCGGCTGTAGTCGGCGTCGAGGATCCGGCCAGTGATGAAGGTACCGACGACGCAGCCCACGCCGTTGGCGATGAACGTCAGGCCAATCTGAATCTCGGTGAGGTCGTACCGTTCCTTGAATAGCGATGACATGGCTGTGATGCTCATCTGCCAGACTGTGTAGTAAATGGCCAGAAACACGACAATCGGCGTCGCAAACTTGCTCCCCAGTATACGCAGCGGGCCGAGCACGTCGATTCGCTTCGGCGGCGGCAAAACCGGCGGCGGCGCGTTCCGATCCCACTGCGTCTTTGTCGTCTTCTGGTATGCCTGCAGCGGGAACCGCGCCAGCCAGCTGCCCCGCGGCGCTGCGCTCCCGTTGGCCACGAGCGAGCGCAGCGTCTCGGGCAGGACGGCGAGCAGCACGAGCAAAAAGACGCCGCTGTACGCGGCCAGGAACCAGAAGACGGCGCGCCAGCCGAGGGAGCCGGCGATGGCGCCGCCAATGACGGGCCCGACGGCGGTGGGCACGAGCAGGCCGGCCTGGAAGACGCCCATGAAGCCGCCGCGGTCGGCGCGTGTGGTGATGTCGCCGATGACGCCGGCGCCGACGGCAATGGTGCTCGCGCTGCCGGCGCTCTGCAGGCAGCGCAGGGCGACGAGCGCGGCGTAGCGCCGCGCGAGCGCCAGCCCGACGCAGGCGCCGAGAAAGAGGACAAAGGTGCACAGGTAGGCGACGCGCCGGCCGCGCACGTCGGACACGGGGCCCCAGAGGCTCGGCGCCAGACCCTGCAGGACGAGGTACGAGGTGACGGTGAGCGTCACGAGCTCGACGGACACGCCCAGGTCGGCGGCCACGGTCGGCAGCGCGGGGAAGTAAATGTTGGACGCGAAGCCGGAGACTAGAGTAGTTTGGTGAGTCAAGGAAGCGGGAGGAGGACCGGGAGGAGAGGCAGACAGGTGGCAGCGACGGAAACGACAAAGACGATTAACCACTTTTGGCGGTTGTCGAATATGGTGAATGGCACTTCGGCAGCAACAGGGGCTGGACGCGCCGTTTCGAGAGCGCTGCCATTTTGCTCGTCTTGTTCAGGAGATGGCATTCCTCCAAGTTACACTGCCGAAATCGGGAGAGTCTCAAAGTCTAGCTTGTTGGGTTAGAATGAGTGGCAATAACCAATGGAGTGAGAAATTGAGTAGAACAAGTAATTGCTCCATTTTGCGGCAAGTCGACGAGATGGTACCGTCTATAAAGAAGTGACAGATTGAAAAGAGACATGGAAACTGCCTTTGATGGGCCGGACTCGATGTTGTCAGGTCCGGTCTCCGAGGGTTCTCAACTCCGCTCAACTCCGGGCTCCCAACCGCCACCACGAGGTCACGCTCCGGCGTCGGTGCCAGTTGCTACATGGATTGCTCTGAGATTGCCATGAAATTGTCGTAATTACGTGATGGCTTATTTCCGCCTGTGCTCAATCACATCGGCACAACAGGCCGAAGAAGGCATCTTCATGTTCCATTCACCCGCATTCGGCCTCGCTCTAATTGCAGCTCCAAATTCAGGCATACATGCGTTTGAAGGTGAATAGATTATACACTACATCACGATGCAAACAATAGCACAATTACAGTTCTCCATGCGTACAGCAAGTCACCGCAAATAGCATGGTGCCAAATTCATCCAAATTTTCCAGCCAGTGGTCGACACGCCTTCGCCGTCGAACAATGCCAGCGTCGTTCATGTCCGGCGGTATCGACCACAGTTCATCAATCGTCAATTGCCTCTCCGACCACTCGGCCAAGAACATATTGTACTCCATCTCCCAGGCCGCGCGAGTCGGCGCCTGCCACAGCGCCTTGTTGGAGGGCACCGGCAGCCCGCGCAGCTCCGTGCCGAGATACGTGGGCAGATTTTCCTGGTCCGACAGGACACTGTCCAGTAGATACATGACGTAGAGCGTTCTCCGCTTCGCCTCGGTGATGATCCATTCTTCCCATCGTGGCCGCGTGTGCGTGGCATCGGCCGCGCAGACAAGGCCCATCCGGGACGTGACGCAGGCCAGACCTTGCAACGTCGTCATGGCGGTGCGGAAGAACGGGCTCGGCCCTTGGTTCAGGCGAAAGAAGAGAATCAGGATATAAATCAAGTAGGCCTGAAAGGCGGCCAGCGTCGACAGGTGGCCGGCAGCGTCCTGGTCGTTGGCGGTGATGGCGTCCATCTCGCGCTGCAGAATAGCGGCCGCGGCGTCCTCGCTGCCGGGCAGGGGGTTGTCGCTGACGCGGGCGAGGCTCAGACACGTCGCGAGGTGCGAACTCGGAATGTCCATCTGGGTCGGGTGCACAAAGGGCAGCGCGACCCGACCGCGGGCCGCGACGGCGGCGTACGACTTGAGCACGCGAAAGATGAAGCGCGTCACCTTGGGCGGGTACTCCTTGACGATTTGGTCCGGCTGCTCGAGGTACGGGTTCAGCCACCGGTTCTGGATCCTCTCCACGTCGATTGGGCAGGCCAGGCGGAGGCGGGCAAAATCGAGGCCGCGGCGCGTGTCGGCTTCATCGGGCGGGTTGCTGGAAGAGGCATGGCTGGCGGTGAGGGCAGGCGGGTGGACGGAAAAGTCTGATCCTGGGCTCGGTATCGAGGCGCGGAAGCTTGTCTCCGGCAGCGGCGCTGAGGAGACCGGGGGAAAGGTGCAAACGAGGCGGCGGTGGGCGCATCGCGAGCACCCGGGTTCTTTGCGGTCGCAGCGTGCCTTGGCGCTGGAGCACTGCTGGCAGGACTTTTGACGGGTACTAGCATAGCGGGAGGTTCTCATGGCGGGTATGTCATTTTGGCGGCGGTTTCCCTCGAAAAAGTGAGTTGTGGTGCAAGGATGAGGCGGAAGCGTTGAAATTGTCCTAGTTAATTGCTTGTTTGCGGTAGTCGGACAAACCGACTTGGCTGGTGGAGACAGATGGCGGCTTGTGCTCGAGAAGGCAAAGTGAGCCGAATGATGACTGATCAAAAAACTTGATGCAACAGGCTATCACCTCGAGCTGATTTTCTTTTCTCTGTGTTGGACAAGAGTATTTATTATTGGATTGTCGTATGTTGGTGTGCCTGGGAGCGCACGCCACAAACGGATAGTGTAACTTGCAACTGACTAGGGAACATGACGACGAAGTTTGATTAAATTGGCCCTTTGTTTGAAACCGCTAGATCATGTGTTAGGATCGCTATCCCAAACAGGTAACAGTTGTAAGATCACAGGCACGGAGTGCCTATAGAGGTGCTCTACAGGAATAGTTATGCAATAATAATTCTTAATTAACTAATAAAATAAACTATAGAAGGGAGAGGCTATAGTTAAATATATAAATAGGTAATACCTTAGGCACTACTAGGAAATTATAGTAATAAAAGAATAATTAGTAGTTATATATATTAGTAATTAATAGCTTATAAGTAGTTACTTTACTTACCTATAGAAGGTAATAGTATCTTTATAATAATCTAGCTTTATTAGTTTAGTTACCTACTATAATAGCCTCTATAATACCTTATATTAAGGCTATAAGTATTAAGACTTCTTTATATACTATTATATAGTATAACTATTATATATATATACTATATAGTATAACTAGCTACTATATATAGCTATATATAGTATAAATCTATTTACTATATACCTTTATATATAGTATATCTTACTAAATATTTACTATACTTAGCTAACTATATCTACTATAATACCTACTAATATAATACTAATAGTCTTTTTTTTTAACTAAGTTATATAGCCTCTAGGCCTTTTTATAGCTTTTATAGTATAGCTAACCTAGCCTTAGATATATAGTATTAACTAGTTACTATTAACTAGCTTCTATAGTACTTTATTTAAGGTAGCCTTTATTAATATATTTATAGGGTTATTATTACTATTAATCTAGTAGACTTTAGTAAGCTTATAATACTTATAGGACTAGTATAGTACTATAATATTAATTATTAGGTACTTTTCTTTAATAGTTCTAAGCTTTATTAGGTATTTATATAATAAAAATAAATCTATATAAACTACTATTAGAATTACTACTAAGCCTATTAACTTTATAATCCTATTTAAAGTAGTAAAAAGGGTATAGCCTATATTAGTACCTAGAACTATACTATATAGCTTTAATACTAATATACTCTAAGTAATATATTTACTTTTTATTAAGCTTTAGGTAATAATATTACCTTAGATAGTAATTTTAGTATAGTTAACTAGTTCCTTATTACCTAGAATAATTATATATCCTAACTAGGAATTTAAATCTTTATTATTAGTAAAAGAACTATTAATAAAAATAAATAGCTTAGCTATTCCTAACTAGATTAGTAAGTATTAAAGGCCTTAAGTAGTATTCTTAATTTATTACTAAATATAGGTATTTAGTTACTTAAAATTATCTTTTTTAGGCTCCTTAAATTATATAGTAATAAATAGGTTAAATATAGCTTCTAGTTAGTATATAAAGGCTAGGTATATACCTTAAGCTTATTATTTAATATACCCTTTTAGGTCTATTAGTAACTAAAGCTTTTTTAATTATCCTTTTAAAACTATTAAAATAATACTATTAGTACCTAAAGAGATATAGTATCTATTAAATATTAATAGGTTATTTACTATAAGTATCTCCTTTAGCTTAGCCTAGAATCTAGTAGTAGTAAGGGTATTAGCTTCTTATTTACTAAAAGTAATAGTACTAAGGCTAATTATATTATTAGTCTATATACTAATAATACCTAGATTAAGGCTTAAAACTAGTAAAAAGTACTAGTTATAGGTAGATAGTATTATCCTAAGCTTCTTAAGGTAGTAGGTAAAGTATATTACCTACTAGTAAGTACTAGACTTAAGGATACTATATAGTAGTAAGATAACCTTAATAATAGTACCCTTAAGGTAGAGATAGTAGAGTTCTAGGGGAATCTAGGTAAGAATATACTACTAAAGGCAGGTTCTAGCCTATATATAGGCCTAGGTAATATCCTAAAGCTATAGTAGCTAACCTTATTAGATTTAGATTAGTATAAGGCTTAAGATTAAGTACTAGCTTATTCTCTAGATAGTTAGTAATTAGGTAAGTAGTATATTTTTACTATAGTCCTAGTAACTATATAGAACTATATATATTTTCTTTATAGGTTTTCTAGTAGTATTAGACTTAATCTTATTAACTATTTAGAACTTAAATAGGTATTTATAATAAATAATAAGGTTAAACTTAATAAATTAAAAGACTCTATATTCTAGAAGGCTTTATAACTCCTTTTTAGTAAAGGTAAGGAATAAAGGCTTATTATTAAAGAGTATACTATCTTTCTAGAGCTTTAAGTAGTATTTTATATTATTCTTCTTTTTAATAAAGAGGAATATTTTATTTTTAGTTATTTTTAATAGAATTTAATACTTTTTAGGCTAGTATTTTATCTTAATACTAGGAATTTCTTATAAATACCTAGGCTTATAAGGGATAATAACTTAGATCTATTTAATAAGCCTTAAAGTAGCCTTAAAAGGCTCTAGAATAGTTTTAGTAGGTTCTAAAGTAGTCTTAATAGGCTCTAAAAAGGCTTTAATAGGCTTTAAGGTAGCTTTAGTAGTCTTAAAGGCCTAATAATTATAGTCTAGATTATTATTAGAGTTATACTTACTATTAGTATTACTTTTAGGGGCTTATAGCGCTTCTAGGTCTATATCTAGGTCCTCTTTAGTAAGGAATAGGTATATAGTAGTTATATAAAAGCTAATAAGGCTAGATAGTATTTCTATAGTATATTTTCTAGTATCTATACCTATTAGCTTATAAAGGCTAATCTAGCTAGTATCTTTATACTAAATATAAATATCTAACTATAATAGTAAATAGTATAGGGGGCCTATATTAGGGTTATTATATATAGCTAGTACCTTATATACTTACTATAAGGAGAGGGCTTTCTAGGTAGTGTTAGTTACCTTCTAAAAGGCTTTAATATATTAGGCTATTAAAGGGTATAGTAAAGAGCCTTCTAAGAGGTAGGAGTAGGTACTAAAGACTAGTAAGGTAGGTACTAGGCTATTAGGGCTAGTAGAGTTATTTATAGCCTTAATAGTAAGTTATAAGTACTTATTAGTACCTAGGGTACCCTATAGCTCTTTATAGATAATATTATAAGTATACTAGAGGGGGGTATAGTAGTATTCTAGCTTATTAATTATATTATAGGCTTCTATAGGTATTAGGTATACTTAAATATCTAGTTTTTTTATATATTTATAGAATTTAGTTAATAAAAAGTTACTTCTAGTATTATAGATAATCTATTTAGGGGGTCTAAGGTATATATTAATCTAATAATACTAAAGTATATCCTAGAGGCTTTTAGTACTCTCTAGGGGGCTTTCTATACTTCTATAGAGGAATTAAGCTACTTAGAAGGAGGTAGTAGTATCTAATATATATAGGATAGGTTATTAATTATTAAGATATATTATATTAGCTAGTATTTTATAGTTAAATTTATACTTATCCTTTAAAGTAAATTAGAACTATTTAAAGGACTTAGTATATAGCTAGTACTATTTATAGGTAGCTATTAAGTAGTCTAGCGCTTCTTTATTAAATTCCTTTTCTATATATTCTAGTATTTAGCTAAGGTAGGCTACTAAAGGGTGTTTAAAGCAATAGTATAAGTATTAAAGCTCTCTTTTTATTAGGTAGAAAGTAGTAGCTTTAGTAGTATATAATATCTACTAAAGGTATCCCTAGTATCTTATAATAAGGACCTTTAGCTATCCTTAGTAGAGTATATTATTAATATTATCTAACTAAATCCCTAGTATATTTATATCCTTAATAGAAAGTAGGAATAATATAGTAGTTAGTAGTACCTAGAATATAATTACTCTAAGTACTATAGGCACTATAATCTTACTAATAGAGGTTATAAAGCTAATACTAAAGTATACTATTATAATAAAAGCTAATTCTATAACCTAAAAGCTTAGAATTAGTTTTATTAACACCTTTACTTATACTATACTAGTATTAGAAGTACTAGTAGTACTTATATTAGGGAGGATCCCTTTAAAAATATTCTCTATATACTATTCCTTATAGCTAAAGATACTAGAGATATTTTAGAATAGATCTTTAGTATAGATAGTATATTTAATAAAGGTATTAGTAAGGAAATATATAATCTTTTTAGAGGATTAGTCCTTTACTATAATAAAAGCTTTAATAACTCTTAAGAAGAATACTTATATATCCTCTTATTTATCTACTAAAAAGTTATCTTTATTAAAAGATAAAGTAGTAATATAGGTATTAACCTTATCCTAAACTAATAGTATCTTTTCTAGAGCTCCCTTAAAGGCTACTAGGAAAGCCTAATACTTCTTATTACTTAAAGGCTTCTAGTAGATCTTATAGGCATCCTAGGTATTATAAGCACCTTTTTATTCCTTTTTAATATAGTTTATTAACTAATAGCCTTCTTTCTAGTATATAAAATAGTACTTTAGGGTACTATTTAAGCTACTAGGTTATTTCTTTAAAAGGATTTAGGTATTATAGAACTACCTATTAATATAGAAATTCTAACACTTTAAATAGGTTTATTTATATATATAGATTAATTATTAAAGTACTAAAATTAAGTCTTTATAGTATTCTAAGGGCTATATAAAGGCTATAGTATAGGCTTTATTACTATATATAGTATTCTTTAGTATATTTTAAGTCTTAGTAAGTATAGTTATACCTTCTAATATAGAAAATAGTCCTTAATATAGGACCTAGATTTTATTAACTAATAACTTAAAGTAGTTAATAATAGACTTTATAAGGTACTTCTTTATTAGCTTATCTAGTAAAAGGTATTTTTATTTATCTATATAAAGGTCTTAGGTTAATAAAGGCTTAAATTAGTTATAAACTACTTTAATTATCTTATTATAGGTTATTTAGTAGTTTATAATTACCTAGATATAGTACTTTAAGGCTCTTCTAGTAAGTATTAATAAGAATATATATAATAAAGCCTTTTCTAAAAGCTAGGCTTAATTATAGTAATTAATAAAGTTATATATCTAGGTATAGAAGAAGTTATACCTCTTTCTACTATACTTATTAGCCTTTTAATACCCTTTAATAATACTATTAATCTATTTTAATATATTTAGGTTTACTATAAATAGCCTAGGGGGTTTATCTTTAGGCTATTTATACCCTTTATTACTAGAGTAGTATAATAGTAATAAAGGTAGTAATAATAGTCCTAAGGGTAGTAGTAGTACTCCCTATTAATATAATAGCTATAGTAGTCCTTATAGTAGCTATAGTAGGGGTATAGGTAGTCCTAATAGGGGTAGGGGTAGTGCCTTATATTTAAGGGGTTATTAAGTAGCCTACCTCTTATAGTACTAGTAAATAGAGTTCCCTTAGTATAGTTATAGTATAAAGGGCTAAGTATACTTATTATAGCTAGAGTTCTATAAGGTATTAGGTAATATAGAGGTACTAGGTGCCTAGGGGGTATTAATTACTATAAGTAAGTTAGGTGCCTAGGGGGTACTAGGTACTAGAAGAAGTCTAGTTATATAAGGGTCCTAATAAATCCTTATAGGTTTAAGTAGGGTATTTTCTATATTATATAGGTCTTCTTTTAGTATTTCTTAAGGTAGTTCTAATAGTAATATATACTAAGGTATTAATACCTAGGCTATTTAAAGTAAATTATTATTATCTAGATAGAAAAGGCTATAGGTATTCTTCCCTTTATTATTAACTAGTTTTAAAGGTTTATTAGCTAAGAGGGAACTAAATAATAACTTCTTTATAAATCTTAATATAATAGTAAATAGTTTTATTAAAAGCTAATTAAGTTATATTATAAGGGGTCCTTTTTCTAGAGAAAGAAAAGGGTAATTACTTTTATAGTTAATATATTTATTAAAGATAGTTTTCTAGATAGTTTTAGTAATTTACTATCCTTTACTAGTATATAGAGTAACTTTAACACTATTAAGATAGTCTTTAAACTTATAAAGGACCTCCTTATTAACTATTTTCTAGTTAACTTTAGTCTAATAAATAAAATCCTTATAAAGGTACTCTTAAAGATAACTACTAAATTATTTATAGTAGGTATTATATATAAAGGTATAAAAGATAATTACTATAGTAGTTTATTAATTAAGATTAGTAGCTTCTTTAATACTCTAAGTAAGAGAGTATAATTAGAATAATTTCTAATTAACTAGGAGAAGATAGGTAAGATAAGTAAGGCTTTTAGGTACCTTATTAGGGATTATAGCTAATAAGTAGCTTAAGATCTTAAAGGTTATTATATAAAACTATATTAAAGACTTAATTAGAGGTTTTTTATTAGTTAAGTTACTAAGTATACTAGGTAGTATATTAGGCTTTCTAGTAGTTATACTAGATATTATAATTAATAGAATAGATAGTTTTAGAAGGTTATAAGGCTATAAAGGTATAAGGGGGATAGATATTTTATTAGAAATCTATAATTAAGGTAAAGGTAATTACTAATTAATATTAAGATTATTATCTTAAATAGGTAATAATTATAAGATTATAAGTATAAAGTGCCTATAAAGGTACTCTATAAGAATAGTTATATAATAATAATTCTTAATTAACTAATAAAATAAACTATAAAAAGGAGAGGCTATAATTAAATATATAAATAAGTAGTATTTTAAGTATTATTAAGAAATTATAGTAATAAAGGAATAATTAGTAGTTATATATATTAGTAGTTAATAGCTTATAGGTAGTTATTTTACTTACCTATAGGAGGTAATAACGCCTTTATAGTAGTCTAGCTTTATTAGCTTAGTTACCTACTATAGTAGCCCCTATAGTACCCTATATTAAGGCTATAGGTACTAAGACTTCTTTATATACTATTATATAGTATAACTACTATATATATATGCTATATAGTGTAACTAGCCGCTGTGTATAGCTATATATAATATAAATCCATCCGCTGTACGCCTCTATATATAGCATATCTTACTAAACATCTACTGCACTTAGCTAACTGCATCCGCTACAGCGCCCGCTGGCGCAACACATATCCAAAGTTGTAACCTTATTGGTAGTTACTATGTATTGTACTATTGATTATATGTGGCGCTCGTTCCTCGCCCTACGGCAGCCTATAGGTGAGTTGTCGCCAAATCCCAGTTCATACCCAGTGTGGGGTTAGATATGAAATAATGCGTACGTAAGTGGGCCGTTGTATTTTTTAGATACATATTATCCTTATAGCCAGTTAGCAGCCAGCCAGCCAGCCAGCCAGCCAGCCAGCAAGCAAGTAAGTAGGTAAGCCAGCCAGCCAGCCAGCGAGGAAGGAAGCCAGCCAGCGAGGAAGCCAGCCAGCGAGG